GCGAACCTACGAGTGAACGCAGCTCAAAACCGACCTGAGAAGAGAGGTAGCAAAGAGAGAGAGATAGAGAGAGAGCGATGAAGACAGAGAGAGAGAGAGAGCGAGGGCGAAAAGAAGAAAGAGACAGTAGGGAGGCTACACTACCTCGTCGGGTTTGGTAGAGCCAGGGTCCTCTACCTCCTCCGCCACCCCAGTCGGCACGAAGTCCCCCCCCATCCCCAGGCCTGGACAGGTCAGGCCTGGCCAAACTTGCAGGGCAGGATCCTGTTCGCTGCCCAGCTCAAACTCTGCCGTGCGAACCGGAGGAATCAACCCTCAACGACCGCCTGAACCATATCATTCGACACGGGCACGTGGAGACCCACAGCTCCGCTGCTGAGGGATTCATGCCTGGGCTCAGCTCCCCCAGGCATGTCAGAGCATAGTCAGGCTGCAGGCTCGGCTCCGTTTCGGCAGGCCTCGAAAATGCTGCGCTGCTCAAGCTGGACTGGACGTCGTAGCCTTCCATCGTGCTCACACACGCCACCCCACCTCCCCTCAGCTCCTCAGCTGATGGTTGACTCAGCAGCGGTGACCCTACAGAGTGGGCGGAGGAGGAGAGAGGAGGATATATGAGGTGAATCGGGGGAGTTCGCGTTAAGACCTGGATACCTCACCACGTATTGCAGCAGAGGGCAAGCCAGCACGGAAGCTTGCCTCCCCTCATCTGCTCGAAACAGTAATGGGGTAATCATTATACTCCCCCCCAAGACCTCCCCCCTCCACACCTCATCACCGCCACCCTCAGAGAGCCCAGCCAGAAGGTAGGATGCTGCGAGCGTCTGGAATGGAAGAGGGAGGGTGGGATCCAATCGAGAGGAAGGGGAAGACTGTGGGGGGGTGCTCCAGGGAGGCATCGTCTGAGCATGGGCCCAGCGCCATTACTACACACATGCCGCGCTTGCCAATGTTGTTGCTGTCCTCCCTCTTGCTCGGATGGTTCTGATGTGCGCCAGCGTCTACGATTGTTTGCTTCTCGATTCGGCAAGTCGAGTCCTCCTGCCTCGGCTGCTGAGGATATCGCAGCTAAGCACCATGGGCGGCGCGCGAGGAAGAGGGAAGGGAGGCACAATATAGGAAGAGCGCACAGCTTGACGAGAAGAGTTGGGGATGGATGGGAGCAGTCAAATGTAGTGTCTGCGACCTGATCGCATGTGGGCCAAACTCGGATTACCGCTGATCTCCCGCCTCGCTGTTGCACGATGCCTCGGTCACGGCAAAATATGTTTCGAAAGTGGATCCTCGTCCTCCAGATGTTTCAAACGCATGCGGAAAGTCAGCCAATCAAGCGCCCGAAATTACAATTCTGATGTATGCCAGCATCAACTATGACTTGCCCACCAAGTGGGCTGCAGAGCTACTTGGGGCATGAAACGGCCAATCCGTAAGGGCTTCGCCCCCTGCCGCCGGCCCCCTCTCTCGGAGAATGCGCTATGCAAGAGCTATGTCATGAGGCCTGGGCGCTTTCGTGAAGCAGCACCGGAATTCCACGCGAGGCCGACTCGCAACGAGCAAAACCAACAGATGACCACAGGGGTTACCACACCTGGCGATTGGCAAGACGTCGTGACCCTGCCGATCTGCGTGAGGGCTGCCGCCGAATTTCAGGAATGTAGCACATCCCATGTGTTTTTGGACCCTGACCCTACGGATCTGCGTGAGGGGTGCCGCCGAATTTCAGAAATGCTGCAAATCCTTTATTGTTTAAACCCTGACCCTACGGATCTACGTGAGGGGTGCCACCGAATTTCAAAAATGTGGCAAATCCCATATGGTTTTGGACCCTCACCCCGCTGATCTGCGTGAGGGGTGCCACCGAATTTCAAAAATGTGGCAAATCCATATGTTTTTGGACCCTCACCCCGCCGATCTGCGTGAGGGCTGCCACCGAATTTCAGACATGTAGCAAATTCATATGTTTTGGACCCAGACCCCGCCGATCTGCGCGAGGGCTGCCACCGAATTGCAAGAAGGTAGCAAATCCCGTATGTTTTTGGACCGTGACCCCGCCGATCTGCGTGAGGGCTGCCACCGAATTTCAGAAATGAAGCAAATCCCGTATGTTTTTGAACCCTCACCCCGCCGATCTGCGTGAGGGGTGTCAAGTGCTACCCACCCCAGCAATTCAGACAATACGATTTCTCCGTGGTAAAAATGCCCGTTTTGGGCCTCCCCCCCTCGCGCGGTCCATCAACAAGGAACAGTAAGCAGCAAGAAGTCAACAAGGAACAGTGAGCGGCAAGAAGCAGAACTGTAACAGTGGGAACTGGAAGCTGCAACTGGCACAGGAAACTGCGAACCTCCTGCTCGATTGTTTCATCGTCGTAGTCCGACTTGGAAAAAACGGAAGGTGGTTTGGCAGCGCTTCTTGGACCTGTCAAATCCATCGTTGCTGCCCTCAGCGGCGTCGCTCTGCTCGGGCCCTTCAATGCTGAGCACTGGCTGTTTGAAGTTGTGATCCACGAACTTCTTGTCGATTGGCTCCCCGGCCTCTTCCTTGACGACCGCCGGCTGGTCGACGGCCTCATCTATGGCCATCCGCTCTTCAAAGAGTTGCGAACATTTGGCAGCATTGCTGCTGATATCGACGCTGTCCTCGCTACCAGTATCTGCGTAGGTACAGCCACTTCCAGCAGTTTAGGCACGATCTCGAACCTCACGGTGCTCATGGGATGCTTCTGAACATGGCGGGGCAAGAGTATCTAAGTGTAGCTATATGTCGTACTTGCCGCTTGCGTCCACGACCTCGAGCGCCTTCTGTGCACGTCTTGCGCGGCATCCGCAGCCACCCGTGGCGGAGAGGACGTCCGCCCGCGGGGTCAGGACCGTGTCTTGCAGCCCAGGGGGCAGCCCGAGCACAACCTCCCAGACCGATTGGTTGCCGTTGCTCGCATGTTCGGGGGCAACGTTAGGGGGAGACAGGCATAGGGGGGGACGCATCGATCCCAATCGCCCATTGATCGCCGATGGGGGCCCGATAGCCCGAACTTGCCCAGGAACTTGCGGAGACACGGTCGGGGCCCTGTCGCCGATCTATCGGCGATGTATCGCCGATTCCAGGTCGTTGTGTCCCTCCCTGTGCCAGTCCCCCCCCATCGTTGCCCCTCACGTGTTCCGACTCTTCGGTGCCGATGCCGAAATGTTGAGTGCCGCACTGTTCCAGAAACGCCGCCTGCTCCCGGCAGCCCTCTTCCAGAGCCTAGTGGCCGTTCACAGGCCACTCCTCCGATGTGTACTCCGAGGAGATATTCTCGATGCTGGAGTCCAAGCTGAGACGGTCCCGCTTGAGCAAGATGCGGTGAACCTTGGGTAGGGCCTGAGAATTGCGGAGCTTAGACATATTGCTTGACATGGATGCGTGAATGCGATCGATGCGCCTCCACAGCCGATTGCTCGTTTATCCATTCCTTGGCATCCTGCATTGTGAATGTGGATGCACTATTCGCCCCGTGTTCCACATTCGCCAGAAGAGATTCCAGACAATCAATAGCGTCTGTGCGTTCGGCTTGATCATAGTCGGTGGTTGCCGCCACCACCGAATGTAAACGCTTGCCAGTGGCGGCTGTTGCCACAGCCACTGAGACAGCGCCGTAGGCGGCGACATCAATCGAGGGATGAGAAGGAACAGCGTCTTTCATGAGATGCTCTATGCAAGTTTCGGTACCAGATGTGATGCACCGAAAGAATGGAGCCCACCTTCCGGTGATGCGCCGCGCCCAGCGGAGACAGCCCACTTGAGCCCTAACTCGCGGGAGCCAGAAATGGCTATGAGGCCTCCTCCTCCTCCTCCTCTCCGCCTCGGGCAGCTCCGCCGACGTGGGGGGAGCTTCTTAGCCATCCTGGGAGGGCCTGGATTCTTGGTTGACCTTGAGGTGGGAGAAAAGAAGGTGCCGCCTGCGATGTCGCTGTACCACAGATGTGCTCGATCAACCCATTCGTGAGTGCTCTTGTTCCTGTTGGTACTGCGTCCTCAGCCTGTCGAGCAGGTCGTGGATGGTCTGTGCCACTACTCTGTGGACCTGCTCTCGTTGGCTCCGCCTGCCCGCCTCTCGCTCTCTGCCCGCCTGCCCTCACCCCCTTCCCTCCCCCCTCTGCGCTCTGCGCCCCGCCCCGCCCCCCCCGGCCCTCCTGCCCCGTGCCCACGCGACGCCGTCCGGACACGGAGGCTGCCAGCGGCGCCTCCCTCGTGCGACCCGCCGTGGTCGGCTCCCGCCCGGCCTCCGCGCCTGCTCCGCGGGTCCGCCTTCCTAGGCACGCTCCTCCTCCTCCTCCTCGTCCGCGGGCGTCGGCGTCGGCGAGCCCTCCGCCCCTGCCGCCCGCCAGCCCGCCGCTGGCCCTGCTCCCACCCGTGGGTGCGTCTGGGTTTTGAGGTTAGGATCGGCGTTCCCCTCTCACGCTGGGCTCCTCCTCCTCCTCCTCGTCCTCCTCCTCCTCATCGTCGTCCTCGTCGTCGTCCTCCTCCTCCTCGTCGTCCTCCTCGTCGTCCTCCTCGTCGTCCTCCTCGTCGTCCTCCTCCTCCTCGTCGTCTTCCTCGTTCTCCTCGTCGTCGTGGTCGTCGTCGGCGTCCTCCTCGTCGTTGTCTCCTGCGTCCGCGTCGGGACAGATTGCCAACAGCGGCGCATCTGTCTGCCGAGGCCTGCGTCGAGACATGCACGATGCACGGAAGGGGACAGGAAGAGCACACGCGCGCGCAAAGGTGGAGCACGAGGAGCAGGGCCAAAAGCGGGGAGAGAGCAGGGACGGGGGTTGCAGATTGGATGGGGAGCGGAAGGCGCACAAAGACCGATAAGCAGGACGAGGAGTGGAATCAGGAGGATGCCCGAAGCTTGATTGTAGAGGGGGGCTTGAGTGGTAGGACCAGGAGGAGGCCCAAAGCTGGATTGCAGGGAGGGGGCTTACAGATACGAGGCTAGGAAGAGGAGGAGCCCAAGCAGCTGGGAGAGGGCCTGCAGATGGGAGAGGCGGCTGGCAAGCTCATGGACATTGACGCAGAGGAATTTCTCTTTGAGGAGTGCGGCCCTCTATTGCACACGCCCAGTGTTGCAGCTGCGCCGGCGCTTGTGTCAATTTGTGGTTGCACGACGGGAGTGGCGTTACTCGCGAGGCTGGCCAGGAACAGGTGTAAGTCTGCCGTGCAGGATGCAAGGGGGATGCACCCTCACACAGACAGATCTTCTCTTCATCTGCAGGCCGTTCCCCTTGGTGGAGCACTTGACGTGTTAGGCTGGGCAGCTGTTCGTGGCTCGTGAGACGCGTGGCCGTGGGAATGCGAGCGCTGGGAAGCGCTGCTCGTCCGCCGTCGTGTGCGTTTCTCGCTGGCGGCTGCCTGCTGCAACATGGGCACCTTCAGCTACCAGCGTGCCAAGTGCTAAGTAATACATCGGTGGCGGCCAAGGGCCGGGTGTTGCCAGGAGTGCGCCTGGCCCCCCTAAGGTACCCCCTGGATTCTCGGGGTGGCCCCCACGGCCTCCAGAGCACCCCTCACGAGGCCCAGAGGGCCCCAGGGGCTCCAAAGTGGAGCGAAAAGCTGGGAGCACCTTGGACAAGGGGCACTTCTGGCAGCACCCGAAAAGGGGGGGGGGACTATGGGGGCGGATATCGCGGGCAGGGCCTTGGCATCTCCCAGGTGTCATGACCCCCTCTTCTTGCTTCAGCACGCACCCTCGTGCGCGCGCACGTGCCTCGAGTCCATGATTTGTTCTGTCCTCTCTCGGACGCCCCCCTCTAGGACGCCCAGAAGACACTCGATGCTTTCATCGCGCTTCCCCTGCTATCTCCTCTATTTCTCGTTCTCTATCTCCCTCTCTCTGTCTCTCTGTATCTCTCACTGCTGTTGTTTCAGTCACTGTCCAGCCCTTTCTGCATTCTGCATCAATCAATGTGGGGGACCGTCTTTCACGGGGTTGCTCCAGTGTCGCAGATCATGAAGACGGAATGACGTCGCATGCGCCACAAGTCAGTTCCTTGTTGCGGCCTGTTTCCTTGAGGACCCCGAGACCCAGAAGAGAGTTGTCGTGCGTCAGACGCCCTTAGGGGTCGTGGCGGTCATAGCGCCATGGAACGCGCCGATCGTGCTGGGATGGAAGCCCACAGCTACTGCGCTAGCGTGCGGTCACCCGCCACCCGCTAGCGGCTGCCTTTGCTACTCTGTCTGATTTCTTTCTGGTATCGCCGCGACCACCTGGCTTCCCCTTCGCTTCTCCTCCTCCGCGTCATGTCAGCATTATCATATCCCTCCCCCTCTCCGTTTCTCCCCTCCTGTTCTTGTTCCTCCTTTTTCTTTTTATCACTACGGTCCTCCCTCCTCCTTGAAGCTCTCTCTTCCTTTCTCCTCCGTGACATTATTACGATCTCTTTCCCCATCCTCGTCGTCTCATGGCCCTTGCTCGTGGCCCTCCTCCTCCTCCTCCTCATCCTCCCCATCCTTTTCATCGTCATCTTTATCATCCTGCTCCTCCTCTTTATGTTGTTGGTCCTGAACAGCTTGTTTGTGAGGGCTCGATGTTCTGTTCTAAGAGGCCGAGCACGGAGTGACCGTGATACGGAATCCGAGGGCCCCAGTGTCTCCCGCAGCCGACCACTCCCACAGCTTCTCCCCATCCCCATCTCCAGCCCTCTATATCCTTACCCCTGTCCTTTGTTACCCCTACCCCGCATTCCCGTCCGGATCCTTGTCCCCAGGTCCCGTCCCCTACACCCCCAGTTCTATATCTACCCCTATCCCTTTCGTATTCGTATTTCCTTATCGCGTGCAAGCTGTCGCGTGCACAGAGACCCGGGTTCGGGATCGGCCAGGCGCCGATGGTCTCCATTGTGCTCCCGCTGTCTCCCGCTGTCGCCCGTGCTTCCCGTTGTCTCTCGCCGCCGCCCGTGGTCTGCCGTTGTCTCTCGCGTTGTCTCCCGCTGTCTCGCGCTGCCTCCCGTGGCCTCCCGTCGAGGGAGCCTCCCGCTGTTGCGCATTGCCTTCCCGTTGCCTCCCGCTGCCCCCCGCTGCCTCCCATGGACTCCCGTGGCCTCCCGCGGTCTCCCGTGGTGTCCCCGTGGTCTCCCGTGGTCTCCCGTGGTGTCCCCGTGGTCTCCCGTGGCCTCCCGTGGTCCGTCTGCGTGGCTCCAGGAGTCTCCCGGGGGCCCCCGAAACGGGGTGGTGACCACACCGTGTGGCGAGTCGGTGGGGATTCGGGGTCAGTGCATGGTGTTGGGACTCGGGCCGTTTTCCGGGGACGTCTCGGGCGACTGGAGCCTCCAGGGTCCCAAAGCCGTGCCCTGACGGACCGTGCGGTGAGGTCTTGGGGGATTTCGAGGTCACTGCACGGTCTGTCACCGCACCGTCTCGGGACTCGAAATAGGAGTCTCCGTCGATGCCCCTTTGTCCGCCATTGTGCAAAACGGTTTAGGGTATCGTGTCGCAAGAGTGGGCGTTCTCCTATGTCTCCTCGTCTGCTCCTTTCCCCTTGCAATGCCAACGCAGACGCAGTCAATCAGGCAGCCGAGCGAGAAGACCAGACGCAGACAATCATGCATGACAGAGGAAACAAGAGATTGACACACGTATACATCTACAGAGATAGAGAGGGTTAGAGACGGAAGGGGCAGAATCACGCTGAAAGGACCAAAGACAGACAAGCAGACGGACATACAGACAATCAGGCAGATAGATAGGCAGAGAAGAACAGACGGGCCGCGACACTTGTTTCTCCTCCGCGACATTGTGCCACCTGTCGGTCGTAAGCTGGCGGGACGCGCGAGCCAACATTCGAGCGTACACCGAACGCGCTCCAGCCAGAGCCGTGCAATCTTGGATGCAGAGGCGTATTATTGCGAGCAAGCGCGAAATTGAGATCAGAGAGCAAGCATTTGGCAAGCTCAACCCATGTGTCAAACGTGGAGGCCGAGCCAAACATGGCAACGCAGCGCACCGCCAAAAGGCGTGCAAAGTTGTGGAGGAGAAGGACAAACGACACATCGAGGGATATGGACCGAGACACACAGCCACGACACATATAGCTGCACGCCCCGCATGCGTACAACAAGAAAAGAGTGGGCGACCCCTCCACCCAAGGTCCCAGATACTTCGAGGACCCCGCGGTCCTGCAAACCCTCCGGGCGGGCCTCCCGAGGCCCTCTGGCCTCAAGACGCCCCAGGAGTGCCCATGGCCGGAGACAGCCCGAGAGAGCCCCACGACGCCCAACGAAAGCCCCAAGTCGGCTCCAACAAAGCCCCGTGACGGCCCCAAGATACACCCAACATCAGGGCCCAAAAACAGAGACCCAGGGTGGCAGAACAGAGCTCCGGGAGGCCCCCAACAAGACCCAATGGAGCTTCCAAAAATAACCCAAAGAAGACCCATAGCAGCCCTTTAGTTGGGACCCCTGTGCTCATTCAGACGCCCGTTGAGATCTTAGGGAACATAATTGGATTTGTACATCGATTCTCGGCCACAGGTGCCTTACGCTTCCACAGGTCAAGGGGCGGCGGTGACTCGCTGTAAGCGTCCTCGCCCATGTCCACACACACACCCCTCGTACGGATCGTGCCCCATAGGGAAGCTCGACTCACGCCCCCAGTTGGCCAGCTTGCATAGCGATCCTGCGACCATTTCAGAACATCGCTAACGCGGATTGCGCCGCCTATGGAACCCCACTTGCGCCCCGGCTCCAAGACGGCTCCAGTGAGGGCTTCAGTGGGCCAGTTCGCACAACGTCACTGCCTCAGTTTGGGCACCCACCCTCAAGCGGATTGTACCGCATAAGGAGCCCTTGTACGGCCTCAGGTGGCCTTGCAAAGCGTCCACCTGCCAATTTCGGCTTGTGGCTCACACGGAGCATGCCGTATAGGGAGTTTCACCCACGACTTCAGCGGCCCAGTTCGCACAATGCCCCCCCCCCGCAGAGTTTAGCACACTCCTCACGCGGATCGTTCCCAATATGGAGCTCCACCTACGCTTCTGAAGCCCAACCTAAGGCTACGAGCGGAGGACGTCAAGTGATGTCGGGGAGAGGGGGGTCAGGGAGAAGATAAGGATCTCAATATCCAAAGTGGTTGCAATTACTTCATTGCTCGCTCGTCCAGCCACATCTGCGAATGGGTTCGCGCGTGCGCTGAATCGATCCATGCGTCTGCTGTCCCCCAGCAATGGAAGACGACTGTACATTTGTCTTCTCTTGGGCGCGCTAGCGCAGAAGAAAATTGCACCCCTCCCCGAAAGGTAATGCCGTGGTGTTGAAGCCCTCGCCGCAGACGCCTCTGACCACTCTACACATTGGCGAGCTGCTACAGGAGCGGGCGCTCGGTATCAGCGCAACCTGTGGGAGCAGAAAGGGAGGTTGTGTACAGCAGCTTGCTTACAATAGCCGCGTGCCGTCGCAGCCCTAGTTGCCCTGGCACGCCCGTGCTGAAGCGACAAACGCACTGTGCTCAAAACGTCCGTGTTAACACACTGCGTGTTGGCTCAGCGCATTGGCCCACGTGCTGACGAACGCATCGCGCCAAACGTACGTTTGCAACCTCCGTTTTGAGCTCCGTGTCCACACGCCATGCATTGCGTGTTGGGCTTGGGGGGCAGCTGAGGTCTCAGCGACGCGTCAGTCCTCCCGCTCTCCTTCCTCCCTCTTGCGACCACGAACCGGTGCAGGAGGAGGAGGAGGAGGAGGAGGAGGAGGAGGAGGAGGAGGAGGAGGAGGAGGAGGAGGACGGGTCGCCTAAGCCCTTCGGGGAAGCCCTCCAATTGTCCGGCGGTGAGAGGGGGGGGCCGGGCCGGGGCGCGGCCGGGGAGGGCGAGAAATCGGCCCCGGGGAAGTGGTCCGGACCTCCTAGGCTTTCGCACCCCACAAAAATTGGAGCAGCTGGATGTCTGGGAGCAGCCCGGCGTGGGTCGGCGCCGACCGGCGGGGCGGGGGGGTCAGCTGGTTTCCCTCTGCTTGGCCTGGGCTCGATGATCCTGCGAACCTGTGTCAGCCCCGTGCGTGTTTCTTCCTCGTCCTCGTCCTCGTCCTCCGGGTTGACGGCCGCGAACGGCCCCTGGGCCGGCTGGGAAAAACCTCCCGAGACGGCGCATTGGACCCCACAGGAAAAACAAAGAATGATGGCACCCGGTGGGAGTGGAAGAAGCGGAGAGTCACACACCCGATCGATACCCCAAACAACGACAAAAACACAGAAACCCACCCCAGAAAGACAACCAAACATCCGTTATTTAGGATATATGCTACTCCACTTCCGCCCCCCCCCCCCCCGCGACCAGGCCAGCCCGCTGCCCCACCCCCCTCTGCGTTCCAGCAGCAACCCCCGCCGCGAAGGGGTTGGGGGGGAGCAGGCAACCAGAGGAATCCGGCGCCGGGCGCAGTGAGTTTGCTCCCCCCAGATGGTCCTTAAAGAAGGCCATCGGCGCTGGGGCCATCGGCCCGGAAGCGCGGCAAAACGAACGCCCAAGCCGGGCTGTCCGTAACGCTGGAACCAAGAAGGGTGGACGCGGGACTAGCGCAGGCCGCGACACCGTTGTGCCCCAACTCACTTCTTTGCGTGTCGTCGATGCGCAGGGGCCAGACTAATCTATTGAGACACGCAACCACCACAAAATCATATGTTGGGTGCTTCGTTGTTGGGTTTCCAGTGCGCACGTCGAAGATCGCACCTGATTCACCGAACTGCCTCAACCGGCTACTTCGGGTCCACTACGGGCACAACATCGGAAGCACACGAACACTTAGACAGAATAAGCCGGGTCGCCTGGACCATGGGCACCCCCGGCCTGCCCCCCGGATGGGGCCGAGAGGGAAAGAGCCGTAGCCCCAACCGCCCTCTCTGGCATGGAATCCGGGGAGGTTTGAGCAGTCCCGCCCCCGCACTCACAATAAGACCAGGAGAAGGGACGATCACAATGTGGCACTATCCGCCAGCGCCCGAACATACAGCACAAGTCCCCTCCCCGAGCATTACCCGTTAGGGGGCGCCCTCCTGGGGAGGGCGTGGGTTAGCCGTACCCCTTGGGGGATACGTTGCCCCTGACGCGGCCGCTCAGCCACCGGGGGATCAACAGTGCGGCCGCCAAACCGAACCCCTGGCCCCCGCGCCCCTCCAGGAGAAGGAGGGGGAGGAGGGGAGAGAGGAGGAAGGGGAACGGAGGAGGGGGAAGAGGGGGAGGGGGACACAACGAGGGCCGGGGGGTGGTTTGATACGGCCGCCTTGTCAACCCCCCAAACGCATCGACTTAGACTCCTGACTGTGAGAACCGTTGACAGGCCGAGACTCGTGGAGGCCTCTGCTCTATGCGTCAGACGTGTTTCTTCCGTGCGGCCTGCGTCGGCCATCGCTGCACCATCAGTGCCGTACTGAAGGGCTGCAGTGGACCAGCACACGTTGGCGCTAAGACACGTGCTGATCCTTGAGAACCACAGGACCCCCAACCCTATAGTCACGCGATGAAGACGTGGCCTCACTGAGGTCCCCCGTCGTCACATGAGGGATACTGGATCTGGGCGGTTTGGCCCGGTGCACCTGCAGAAAAGAACCCCCCCGAATTCCCCAATCAGTGCTTGCACTGAAGGGGTCCTAGCGGAAGTTGCAAGATTTGGCGAAAGTTTCCCGCCGATTTTGGTAGCAGGCTGGGTTCCTGGGTTCCCGGTTATTGGTTCCGGGCCGATTTCGGTGGGTTCTGGGTTCCGGGCTCCCGGGTTCCTGGTCGATCTCTCTTCGGCGGAAACCACCTATTGCTTGGGGTTTTGCTTTGGGATAACTTTTATTGGCCCTCCTATAACCCAGACCCCCGACGTCATGATTTTTTCATGACGTCGGCCCCCAGAGGTTTCGACCTATTCCCCGGGACCGGCTTTTCATCCTGAGTGGTTTTTTGACGGTCCCGAGGCCCGGTAAGGGCCCCCAGAGGCCGAAAATGCCGGAAAACCTCCCGTCGTAATTTTGTCATTGGTCGAGGGGGTCTGGGAACTGAGGTCCCCTCCCAGAGGAGCATCTGAGGACCATCGATCGGGCGCCGCGCGTGGAGCCGATCAGGAGGGAACGAAACACACACAGACGCAATGATTCGTCGATTCCCCAGAAAATCTGGGAAAATATGGGAAGGGGGGGAGAGACAGAAATCTGGGGAAACATCAGGAATAGGTTTATTTGTGTGTGTACTTATTTGTGTGTCCTTTGGGCCCCTTCAGAGTCCCCCCCTCGCCTCCCTCCCAATCCCGGGCCCGGCAGCGCCCGTGCGGCCGTTCCGCGCGCCGGCCCGGGCCGGCGCGTCCCCGGCGCGGGGGGGCACGGCGAGGGGGGGGGGCGCAGGGCAGGAGAAGGCGGAGGAGGGCGAGGGTTCGGTCGGGCCAGTCCCTCTGCAGGGGGAGTATCGCAAAGAGAAAGTAGTCAGGGGGGCGGTGTTGTTACCATGTTGGAGCCGCTTGGGAGCATTCTTCTTGGGGTATTTCTCATGTTCGCCCAACATCGGCCTGTAGGGGGGCAGGCCCGACCTGAGGCGAGGGGGGAGGAGGTGCTGCGGGAGTTTGCAGCTCGACCCGGGAGACTCGAGGAGGGAGGCTTTTGGCCTTTGGCTTGTCGAGTGTGTTCCGTGCTGCTGTCCTTTCTGGGCCTCTGGATGCCTGCAGGGACCTCCTGGGCTCTCCGAGAACCACTGGGGACCTCCAGGGGTCAGGATCCCGGGCGGCAGCAAGACTTACCAGGAGGAGGGGCAGAAACAGGGGAACGAGAAGCCGAGGGAGAAGAGGGAAAGAGGAGCGAGAAATGTGGCGTTCGTGCCAGCATGACCCATCTGCGTCATGCGCTTGCCGATCCCTGTCACAAACGAAAAACTACTTCTACAGCCATTCCTCCCCCCGGGCGTGCTCAACCTGGTTGTGGGCGCAGACAGCTTCGAGTTCAATCCTGGCGCATTCATTTCCAGCAACCCATTGGTGAACAAGGCGGGCGTGCAATGACCAACGCAGCCTGGCTTATCTTCATGTTTCCCCCATGGCCTTGAGAGTGGCGGAGGAGGAGGAGGAGGCGGTTGAGGAGGAGGAGGAGGAGGAAGAGTATGAAGAGGACCGAGAAAAGTGAGGGGGGGGATCGGAGGAAGTGGGGTCTCCATTTCTCCCCCGCCACCTCCCCTCCCCTCCCCCGCCCCCTCCCCTGTCCGTGTGGGCGCATCTGAACCTTAGTGTGTCCATGCGCTTGGGTCGTGAACTCTCTTTGTGCGCTGTCTCACGCAGAGTGAGCGGCGCTGGTGATTGAGCTCGCCGGGATGTTCGCGAGCATGCGGTGTGGCCATCTGGTCGCGCGTCTGGGATGGCCAGGCACGCTGGCCCAGCCACGACGAGGCCGGCGCGCCTGTGCGGACCCCGCACAGGCCGCGTGGGGATTGGCACACAAGTTTGGTGGGAGCTTCTGCGCAGCCGCCTGCAGTGGTCGCTTGGCCCCGCGCATCCCATGTGGGTGGGGGGGGCACATGGTACAGTCGGCCCAGATTAGTAGGTCGACCCTGCCAAATCAAGGGCACCCTTGTGTCCTGCGTTTCGCGACCCATGCCTTCTGCATTCAGGTGGCAATGTGGCCCTCAGAAGGGTCTTGTGTCCTTTCGCTTATCCTCTGCAATCGAGCTCGACTGTAGGCAGCCCAGTTGGGCTAGTTTTGGAGCCCACTCGTTGACTGAATCTCGCGCCCTTCCTGTGCCACTGCGAGTGCATCTGGGCCTGAGGGGGATGCGCGGGCCCGGGGCCGGAATCAGAAGACGGCTCACGGAGTGCACAGGAGGCAGCTTGAGCATGACTTGCGCGTGGCGCGGTTGAACAAGACTCTGCGCCGCGCGGCGAGCTGGACCGATGCCTGCGCGTGGCGCGGTTCGGCTCGAGTGCAGCAACTGTTTGTGGCTGGCGCTCTCTGTCTCTCTTTCTCTCTCTCTCTCTCTCTCTTTGTGTCTGGGGGGCTCCAGGAAGGGCCTCACTCCCGAAGGGTCGAGGAGTTGCCGTCTCCTCCTCGGTGGGAGGCGGCGGAAGGGCAGGTGAAACGCGCGGGCGTAAAACAGCGGCGGGACAGCAGGCAGAAGCCGGCGGAAGGAAAGATCAGCCATCCAGCCATCTTGTTTGCTTTCAGGGTTTCCGAAAACCACCTCGCTTTTTGGGTGGCAAATCATGGGAGCCTTGGCAGTTCCGTCTTTAGCATTCACTAGCGCCGAGTAGCGCTTGGACATCGGTGAGAAAGCGCCGGATTAGCGTCGAGTCCAGTAGCGCCGGTCTGAGATCGATTTAGCGTGGACTAGCGCCGAGCGGCGTCGATCCGCAAGAGCCAACAAGACGGTATGGGAGGCTCCCATGAGTCGCCGCCGAAAGGTTCCGGTGACCCCGCCTCGGCGGCCCCACAGACCCCGCCCGCCAATGGCCATGCAGGGGGACACGGAGCTGTGCAGGGCGGCCATTGCCGGGGACGCGGAGCGGTGCCGGGTGCTGCTGTCGGAGGGCGCAGACGCGAACGCGGCGGATCGGCGGCTCAAAGATGGGGCTCCGAGGGATGGGGCTTTAACCTTGTGTAGTCCAAAACCCGTAATTACAGCAGGGCGCCCGGAGGGCGTGGAAAGGCCTGGCGGAGCACTCTGGAAGCACCTGGAGACAGCTTCCGAAGGACCTTCTGGAGAGGTTCCGGGCACGCGTATTGGGAAACGCTCAGAAAAAGGTCTCTCGGGACAGATTACAAGTTCAAGCAACCCGCGCCGAGGTGTCCTGCCCGCCGCCGGAACGACGTCCGGAGCTACCCTGCGGCTCCGGCTTCTTAATCTGAAACCTTACTAGCTCTCAAAGGAGCTATCCGGGAATTGCCAGCTGAGACCCACGCCAAGAAACACCCTGCGTGCCTCCAGGGTGCAGCCTTTCCTTGGTTTTTTGGGCTTCGATGGTCCTGCTAAGAAAGCGGCACGCTCCCACACCAAATATCCTGGGGTGTCAGGTTTGGGTTTCTTGTGGGAGGTTTTTTGTGGTCGAGCTCCTGCTGCAAGGACGAGGGGCCTCTAATGATGCACATTCAACCTTGGGGCTGGCGCCGCCCAGGGGTCTGAGGTGGCCCAGCATTGTTCCAGGAGGGGGAAAAACACACAGACACAATTAATCGTCGATTCCTAGGAAATTATGGGAAAATATGGGAAGCTGGGGGGAACAGAAAAACCAAGAAAATATATGAAAATATTGAGAATTTTTATTATTTGTGTCTACTTACTTGTGTGTCCCAGGGCCCCTTCAATTGTTTCTGGCCAGCAGGAAGGGCGGGCAGGTTCGAGGTTCTGGGTTCTGGAGGGTGTGTTGCCCTTTTCGGGCTGGTGGAGGCCCTATTCGGGCCCCGGGACTGCGAAACGGATCTAGGGTAATGAGCCCTGGGAGGGATCCGGGGACCCATTTTGAACGGATTTGAGCGGCGCCAAAAAAACGGGGGTTCGATTGCGCCGACATTCGGGCGCAAGCTCCCCGCGTAAGGTCGCGCGTAAGCTCTCTCGTCTCCACTGTGGCTTGCCGCGCTGTGGGCCCGCGTACCGCTGTGCCATCTCGCGCAAGACCCGTTTTTCATCGTCGCTCATTCGGCTTCGTCCCCACTCTTGGCCGATGTTCTGGGGTCCCGACCAGTTAAGACCTCCCGGGCGCCTCCAACTTGAGGGATGAGGCCCTACGGCCGAGCGGCCTCGAACAATGCGAATTCAACATTAGATCCCTTCCAGTCCTTGCAGTCGGACCGAGGTATAAGATCGAGGTCGGTTCGGGGAGGGTGCCTCGATGTGATTCGTGCTTGTCTGGTGTTCTTGTGCGTCCTGGGAAGGATCCCCCTGGATGCTCTGCGTGCTTTGGCCGCCCGAGTGTCTCATGTCTCATGTTCTTGAAGGGTGTTCTGTTGGCCTAGGTCGGACTGTGGCCGCAGAAAGAAACACTGCACCAACGTGTATATATTTATATACACACATACATATATATATATATATATATATATATATATATATATTATATAGATATAGATATAGCTTTCCCTTCCGAGCTCTGCGCGAGTCTCTCGGATCTGCGCTGGAGCGCGCCAGGGGCGGCGCCGGAGGCGCGGCCAGGAGGGCCCAGCGCCCACCCAACAGATCCGCGCGGGGCTCCGACGAGCTCTGCTCGTGTTCTCGCTCGCCTGCCCGGGGCCCCCATCCCTCGGGGCCCCAGCTTTGTGGGACCGCCGAGCGGACGTCTTCTGGCGCACCCCGCTGCTCAGCTCGGCGGCGAGCGAGGGGGGCAAGCGAGAAGGAGAAGGCCTCCTCAGAAGGTTCGGAAGTCCCCCGGGCTTCCCAGAAGTGCTCTACAGGAAGCCTCCCCCGAAGACGCATAAGACAAGCCTCTCAGACGGCGCGAGGGCTTCTGAGAGAAGTCCCGCCGCCTTCTGAGAAGGCCTTCTCCTTCTCACTTCCCCCCCCTCGCTCGCCGCCGCACAGCGCCGCCGTGGAGGGGCACGAGGCCGTCCTCGTGGCGGTCCTGGAGGCCCGGGGCGACCTCTCCCGCGGGGACCGCAGCGGGTGGACCGCGCTGCACTGGGCCGCCTTCCGGGGCGACGCGGCCATGGCGCAGCTATGCCTGTCCACGGGGGGCTTGCTGGAAGTGTCCCTGGCCTGGAGAGGCCCCAGGTGTCCTCCTCCTCCTCCTCCTCCTCCTCCTCCTCCTCTTCCTCCTGCTCTTCCTCCTCATCCTCCTCCTTCTCGTCAGCATCACCCTCTTGATATCAAGTACAGTCGCCTCGTCGTTCGTTCCCCCCTTCTGTGCTCGTGACCTCGTCGTCGTCGTCGTCGTCGTCGTCGTCGTCGTCGTCGTCGTCGTCGTCGTCGTCGTCGTGCTCGGGATCTCCTGGGCGGGCGCGGGGCTATCCCTGAGCCGACGCCCGCTGTCAGCTGGACTCCCGAGGCGACACCCACGGGCTCCAGGGAACACCCCACGAGGCCCAGAGGCCGCAGCCCAGCCCAGAAAACCTTGCGCCGGCCACAGCGCGTGAGCAGTGGGAGCAGCTGCCTTCCGCATGCCGCCCAGGCCTGGACGGCCTGCTCCCGCCTGCGAGCTGCACCGGCCCTTCTCGCGGCGGAAGAGGCCAGTACGTCGCTTCTGGGAGCCCGCAGCAATCTTGCAGGTCTTTTCATGGCACGAACGAGATGGCTACGGAAAGAATGGGTACAATGCCCAACAGCAGTTCCTGTTCATTTTGAACAGGACTCGCTGTCCACGCCGCCGCGGCCTGTGTCCATTCGAGACAGAAGGCCGCCTGCCCAACAGCGGCCGCTGTTGGTTTGGAACAACGTTTGTTGTTGGGCATTGTACCCATGTTTTCCGTACCCATTTCGGGCGTCCAAGTTTTCATGGCACCACGGGCCCAGACTGTTGCGAGAAGCTGGGGACGCCCTGGGCCCAGGTCGGCGGCGCAACATCCGAACCCTGCCCTCGCCGATCAGCGATGAAGGCAACTCGAAGGGCGGCGGGGGCAGGGACCAGAATTCCTCGAACGCGTGGCGAGGTCCGAACCCTGCCCCCGCCTCCCATCGACTCGAGAGAATCGGTGGCTGGTGGGGCCAGGGTTCGAATGCCGCCGCCCACTGGATGGGCGGCTTGCGGCTCGATCCGCTCCTGCGCTTGGCAGCGCTGGCGGCGCTGAGGTGGCCCTGGGGGGCGAGGCCTCCTCTCGCTCCGTCTAGCATTAGGTCGGGCCTGTCCCTCTACAGGGGGATTTTGGACGAAGAATTTAAAGTACCCCAAACATGTTCCAAAATGACCAAAAACATATTCAAACAATCGTCCCCATACTATTTTGTTTTAAAGCTATCTTTGAATATTCACCCTGTAGAGAGACAGGCCCGACTTGAGTCTAGCAAGCCGTCGGCGCACCACGAGTGGCAGGTGCATGGGATGTGCCTGGCCCGTGGGGCCGCCGCGCCGCTGGGACCAGGGACGCAGCACGGGGCACAGCCTGCCACAGAGGCACTGATACTCGAAGAAGAAGAAGAAGAAAACCCCCCAAAAGAGGAATTATAAAAGAAGACAAACAGCAAATATAAATAGTAATGATACGAACAATAATGATGATAATAATACGAATAGAAAGAAGACGAACAATAATCAGAATGAACGCCATAAACACAAACTTGTGGCGCTCCGCGTGGATTTCTTGGCTCTGCTCTGGAACCCCACTCCCTGGCGCGCGGAGCGCGCCAGGGCCGGCGCTGGAGGCGCCGCCGGGGGGGGCCCAGCGCGGATCCAAGAAATCTGCGCGGAGCGCCGCAAGTTTATGTGCCTGGCGTTTTTTTTGTTTTTTCCTTCTAGGTACCCAGGGCCACCTGCCAGGGCCACTACTTGGGCACAGCCTTCCACAGATGCACCGACACCCGGGGCCACCTGCCAGGGGCACCACTTGGCAGCCCCCCGGCCGTCCGCCGGCGCGGACCCGCTGCAGCTGGACGGGCGGGGCAGCACGCCGCGCCAGGTGGCGGAGCACGTGCGCAGCACGCAGGGCGAGTCCTTCTCGGGTCGGGCGGAGCGGTGGGTGGTAGCGAGCAGGTGCGCCCCACAATTCGGCGGCCAGCGAGGGGGGGAAGTGAGAAGGAGACGGCCTTCTCAGAAGGCGGCGGGACTTTCAGAAGTCCGAGGCTTTTGTCTGGCGTCTCCAAGGAATGCTTAGAAAACTTGTCAGAAGGCTCGGGGAATTCCGAGCCTTCTGAGAAGGCCTTCTCCTTCTCATTTCCCCCCCTCGCTCGTCGCCAGATAATGTGTTCGGCAGGGTGAAAATATGTCCGTGTTCGGATGCTCGCAAACGGCTCGTCAACGGTTCGTTGGAACGATCTGTTCGCGAACTTCAAGGCCTCCACCTTGTCCACGGCCGCTCGTTTTAGGGGAGGGACAGTGTTCAACACGAACGGTTCGCAAAAGGTTCGGGAACACATGTTCGCAAACGATGGTCGACGCGCATAGTCAGGATGAGCGAGTTTCGAAGGTTCACTTTGCATCCGTGCCCCTTGCGGCACATCCTTGACCACTTTCGCTTGCCGCGCCGCGCTCGAAAGGTGTCGACATGGTCGTCCAAGGCCCTTGCATCCTTATCGCGCATACTTGTTCTACGCGTTGGTTGAGGCGACAGGAGAGACTCGGCCAGGCGAAACTCGGCCAGGCTGAACTCGGACCAGGCCGAATTCAGCTTGGCCCGGATCGAGACCAGCCCGGCCGAGTTCAGCCCGGCCGAGTTCAGTTGCTGCCTTTGCAGGGGGGTGCTAGCAGGGGGGGTAGCGAAGGGGGGTCAGCGAGTCGGCTCACGCAGCTGGCTTTCCCAGCGCCTCCCGGCGCCGCAGGCGATCATGCATTGAGGAAGGCGTCCGGCAGCGGGGCCGAAACGAGTCGTAGGCAGCGGATTTGTCACCCCTTCCTTGCAACAAAGACGGTACTCAATTATTGGTGGCTTAGCCGGGCGCGATCTTCAACGGATTGGCCGACTGGGCTTCGCAGCGCACATCGGCAGTCGCAGTGCCTGCCGAGGTCGCCCTCGAAGCGCGCAGGGCGCGAGCGCCGCCGAGCGGCGGCGCCGGCCCGAGGTCTTACTTGCCGCGGGGTCGGGGGCCCCTCGTTGGCGACTCGCGGGGGCCCGAGGTTTCATCTGCCGCGAGAGGGCCCGCCCAGCCTCGTTGGCGACTCGCGAGGGCCCGAGGGGGGCGGGGCCGGCTGGGCCGACCGCGGAAGAGTGCAAGTGCGCGGGTTGCGCGTGATGGGTGCGTTTTTTTACGAGGGCATAGGCGTGTTCTCGTCCCCACGGGGTCCCTGGTGAGTGTTCGGTCCCTGCCGTTTTCCAGAGGTATGAAGTTGTGGCTGGGGCCCAACGCAGTCGTCCGTCCAGGCGCTCGCCTTCTTGGCGGGCGCCGCGAAAGCCCAGGGCCCAGCCGGGCCCAGCATTCGGGAGGTGGCGAATGACTCCGACTCCGCGATCCTATCTTGCAGCACGCTTCCCAGGGCCCTCGTTTCGCCATGAGCGCGTGGTTGTAGCCTTTCGCCACGGTGAGGTTACCTCCACTGCCACTGGCACTGGATGGCCCCGGGGGGAGGGGGGGAGGGGGGCACCGCACCGCGATGTGCAAAGACACGAGGCCATGCTTGCACTGCGTGTTTTCTGCACCTGCCTACCCCCCTTCCCCCCCCCCCCCCCCCCCCTTCCCCACCACCCCTTCCCCTATATATCCCCCCCTTCCTGTGCCTGCGCTCCCCTTCCCCTATATCCCCCCCCTCCCCCCCTCTCCTCCGACCCGGCCTTCGGGGAGGGGCTGCAGGGCGACAGGGGCCTCGACGCCGTGATCGCGCTGCTGCCGCGGGGGCCCGCCGGCGGCGGCGAGGGCGCAGCCCCGGGCGCCAGCGCGGGGGGCGCAGGGCGGGCGGGGCCGCAGGCCGCGGGCGGGGCGCCGGCCCCGGCAGCGAGCGCGGGCGAAGCTGCGCCCTGAGCCCGGCCCGCGCGCGTCGTCGACGACGACGACGACCTCCTCGTCGAAGGTCTCGCGTCGGCGTCGGCGTCGGCGCGGACGTGGACGTCCTCCTCGCTCGGCTCTCGCCTGCTCTTAGACTGGGGGCATCGACCATGGCGCCTCCCCGAGAGAAAGGAGCGGCAGCAGCCGAACGGGGTGGTCCTTCTCCTTCTTCTCTTCCTCCTCCTCCTCCTCCTCCTCCTCCTCCTCCTCCTCCTCCTCCTCCGTATCCTCATCCTCATCCTCATCCTCATCCTCATCCTCATCCTCATCCTCCTCCGTATCCTCATCCTCATCCTCATCATTCTCGTCCTCATCCTCATCCTCCCTCCTCCTCCCCCTACTTTTCCTCGTCCTCCTCCTCGTCCTCCTCCTCTTCCTTCTCCATCTCCTCATCCTCCTCACGATGATGATGATGATGATGATGATGATGATGATGATGATGATGATGATGATGATGATGATGATGATGATGATGATGATGATGGTGATGATGATGGTGATGGTGATGATGATGATCATCATCATCATCATCAGCATCATCATCAGCATCATCAGCATCATCAGCATCATCATCATCAGCATCATCATCATCATCGTCATCGTCATCGCCATCGTCATCGTCATGATCAGCATCATCAGCAGCATCAGCATCAGCATCAGCATCATCACCATCAGCATAATCATCATCATCAGCAGCAGCATCATCATCACCATCATCCTTGCATGCCCCCGAACAAGCAATATCCCGACCTCAGCACCCAAGCATTCTGTGGAGCGCGGCTCCTGGGACACAAACTTGCAGGCATGACGTGGATGTCATTCCCCCAGGGGGGGGGGACCGGCGGCAAGGAGTGCAGGACTGCTTCTGGCACGCATGCCTGTTTGGTTCTCCTTGGGGCGCATAGCGTGCACGACAAGGTGGTGGGCGAGCAGCGGGGAGCCCAGGGATGGAAGTGAAGCAGGCGTGGGTGCTGCCGATGAGGTGGACGGAGAAGCGGCCTGCGCCCTCCGGAGGCCCGCAGAGGCTTCCGGGGGTCCCTGGAGGCCCCCAGAGGCAGACGGAGAGGACCAAGCGCCTTGCGGACTGTCCAGCGGCCTTCCCCCCCTCGCCTTCCAGGTGGTCTTCACGGGCTCGACCGAGGTGGGCCGCAAGGTCATGACCGCGTGCGCGGAGGCCGGGTTCACCCGGGTGCTGCTGGAGCTCGGCGGCAACGATGCCGCCATCATTCGCCACGACTGCGACATTGCGGACTGGCTCGGCACTCCTCGCCCGTCCCTGCGCCGCCTGCCGCGCGAGCGGCCGCCGCCGCCATCGTCGTTGTTCGTCGTCGCTGCGCTCGCTCGTCTGTCGTCGTCGCCCTCGCCCTCGCCGCCGTCGTGTCCGCGGCTGCCAGTGTGTGTCCATGCCTGGACCTTGCGGTCCATTCGGGGTGCGCGCGACGCCGAGAAAGAGGTCCCCTCCTCCACCTGCTCACGCGCGCCGCATGGTCAATGGCGAAAAGAGCGGTGGCAATAGCAAGAACAAGAGCAGGATGATATACATCAGGTCATAGCAATGGCAATAGCATACAAGCGGAGGAGCAAAGACACGAGCGGGACGAAGGGCAACGTTACGGATCAGAGGCCCATGAGGCACCAGCACGCCGGCAACGACCAGAGGCGAGGCTTACGGCCAGTTCGCGTCGTAACAGAATCCGTGCAAGGTTGAGCGATCTACGCGGAGTCGGGCACCAACGCTGGGGCCGCCACGGCACGAACCTGCCGTGGATTGCAGCAAGTCGTGCCGTCCGCGGCGAGAGCGCCGAAAGCCTGCGGGCCGGCCGGGGAAGGCACGCGCGGCCGCGGTCAACCATTTCCTGGATGCCAGGGCGGGCGCTCCAGGGGAGGAGGAGGAGGAGGAGGAGGAGGAGGAGGAGGAGGAGGAGGAGGAGGAGGAGGAGAGAGAGAGGAGGAGGAGGAGGAGGAGGAGGAGGAGGAGGAGGAGGCGGAGGAGGAGGAGGAGGAGGAGGAGGGAGGAGGAGGGAGGAGGAGGAGGAGGAGGAGGAGGAGGAGGAGGAGGAGGAGGAGGAGGGAGGAGGAGGAGGAGGAGGAGGAGGAGGAGGAGGAGGAGGAGGAGGAGGAGGAGGAGGAGGAGGAGCGGGCGCTCCGGGAGAGCGCGCCGACCTCCGCCAGAGGCAGCCACTCCGGGGGCACCCCGTCGGGCGGGCCCCGGGAAAGGGCTGCTGCGCTGCAGAGAGCGCTGCGGAGCTCGGCATACAGTCGGGGCGCCGAAGAAGGAACCCTTTTCGTTGGGGAGGGGCTCGGTGTTCCTTCATTGTTCCACACCTTGCCCAATGTTTTCCTGAAGTTTGTGGTGGCAAGTCGCAGGTTAACTTATGAAAAAAGGGCCTTCGTTCCTTATTTAGGGTTCCTTGGGTCAAGGCCCCGACTGTAGCTCGGACGTGTGCACATCTTCTCGGCGAGGGCCAGCGAAGAGCATCGTGGATCGTCTTGCGGCAAAAAACGCACGACACCGAAACATTCACGGGGAACGGGCTGCTGAGCGATGGCAAGGTAACGCTGCCAGAGCGTTCCAGAGCGCTCTAGAACGGCCGCGGCGCCCGATGCGTTTTCCGGAACCGCCGGATCTCAGAGATGGCCCAATCCCGGGCCGATGTTGTCCTGTTCTTGGCTTCGTATTGCACAGTTCTCTCCGATCGCCGCCGACGTCGACAACTCTCTCTGTCCCGCACGCGGTCGTCTGGTTAGCGATGAGATAATAAACCACAGAAGTTCCCGCAGGTGTTACATTGTATGTACATCGGCGAATAGCGCCTAATGGCGGCCAGTAGCGCGACTAATAGCGCCCAGGAACGCCACGTGAGGGAGATGCATGGATGTCCGCTTCTGCGTGCGACTGGGCACGCTATTGGGCGCCACGGGGACGACCACGAGCTCCCCCGAGAAGCTTGAAGGACTCACGGAGCACCTCTTCATCTCGGGCCCTCAGAGGCGGCTCCTTGGCCCCGCCGTGGGGGCGCATCCGCGCCACCTCCCGTAGATCAGGGACCCCCGAACGGTGCGGTGACCACTCAGGAGAGGGAAAAAAACACAGACACGAGTAAGCCTCGATCCCCAGGAAAATATAGGAAAATATGGGAAGTGGGGGGAAGACCAACACCTAGAAAAGATATAACATACACGGAATTCTGGCAGTTGTGTCTGTTTATTTGTGTGTCCCAGGGCCCCCTTCAACCACCCCGTGTCGCGAGTCGGTGTGGAGTCGGGGTCGGCCGCGCGGTCTTGGGAGCCCGGCCGCTCTCCGAGGACGTCTCGGGCCACAGGGTCCTCCTGAGGGTCCCAGCTCGCCCTGCGGTGACTGGGCCGCGCGGGGCTGTCCTCCGGGGTTCCGAGGTCGCCGCGCAGTCGTCCACCGCACCCTCTCTCGGGACCGCAGCTCACCGCGGAGGCGACTCCGCGACACTCGCCGGCGAGGGCGGCGCATGGCGAGGCTGCGAGGCACTCCTCCGTCTGCCATGGGCCTGTTTTCACCACCACCACCATCATAAGTTGGAGGGGGGAGGGGGTCCTCCTCCCCCTCTTCTACCTCCTCCTCCTCCTCCTCCTCCTCCTCCTCCTTCTCCTCCTCATCCTCCACCTCCTTCCCCCAACTTATGGTGGTGGTGGTGGAAAACAGGCCCATCATTCTGAGCGCGGATGGCACGAAGGGGGAGTGGAGGGGCGACGGTGCGGGAGCAGGGGAGGGGATGTGTTGTGATCCAGAGGGTGGGTTACTGACAGACCCCGCTTTTCCTTCCAGGCGAAACCAAGTCATACCACGCGCCTCCTCGTCAAACAGCCTGACCGCTGCGGGCCACCCCACGCGTGGTTTGGTAGCGTTTGACTCCCGTTTGGAAGCGAGGGTGGTCAACAGCGAAGTAGGATCCTTTACCCCTCAGTAATGGTCCACGGTGCCTGCGGTCCACGGCTGACCCATCGTGCAGGATCGTGTGGCATTCGGCACCCCGCCACCCGTGCCTGGGTTATGGTCGGATGCCCATCGGGTCCACAGTGTGGTATCTGAGGGTGCCTCTTGGAGGGCGACTGGGGGCATCTTGGGGGCTCCTTGAGGGCCTCTTTGGGGCCTCGTGGGGGCCTCCTGGGGACGCCTCGGGGCTCCTCGGGGGGCTTTGGGAGGACATTTGGGCAATCGTGGAGTGGAGGGCTCGAAAAGGTCTTTTCGTGCTCCCCTGCTCGGGCCCCTCTTGGAGCTGTCTCGGGGCGATGTTGATGGCTTCTTGGGGCGCCTCGGAAGTTTTTGAGACGGACAAGGCGATAATATTGAAACGGCACAGGTGCCCCAGAGATTTAGGCAAGTTTGGCATCTTAGGGCGCCAGCTCCCAGGGCCTGCAAGCCGGCCCAAGAGGCGCCCAAGAGAGCTCAAGAACGGCCCACAGGACCATCTTAGGAAACGCTTGATCCCAGGTCGAGGGTTCACAGCCCCCCCCCAGATCGGATGGGGGGGAAGACGACGACGACGACGACGCCGACGGAAGACGACGACGATGACGATGACGGCTCTGACGGCGACGTCGACGACGCCGACGCCGACGCCGACGCCGACGCCGATGCGGATGGAAGACGACGACGACGCCGACGCCGACGCCGCCGACGACGACGACGACGGACGACGACGACGACGACGACGACGACGACGTCGACGACGACGACGACGACGCCGCCGCCGCCGCCGCCGCCGCCGCCAACAACGAACCACCCCACGCACCCATAGGGGCAGCGGGGGGCACAGGCACCCACCACCGCGCCGGGCCCACAGGACCACGACCACAGCGAGAGGGGGGGAGGGAGCGACTCCATTCGCGAGGCCAGCGCGAGGCTCACGGGCGTACGCATTGTTCATTTCTAATTAGTTTAAATGTCTTTGACTTTGTGGGGGGCCAAGATCCTTTCATTTCTAAGTGTTCTATCCTGGGCCTCTTCGTGGCCACTAGGTGGCCAGGAAGAATTAGAAACGAGCACAATCACAAATGAGCACGATTAGAAATGAGCGACGTGTACCCATCTAGCGGGGGTGGAGTCGATCCCATCAGCACTGGGAGGGGGGCAGCCCTGGCCCTGGATCGTGCATGTCCTGACATGTGTTGCTGGTGCCTCTGGGAAAGTCCTGCAGAGCACCCCAGGAGATCTGCGAGACACCCTGGCAAATACGGCACTTGGGGCTTTGGGCCTTGAGGACCCGAGGGCGCTCCATTCAGTGCCCACGACACGGTGACGGATTGCCGGAGCCGAATCCGCCGCCTTCGGCGACGCATCGAGCGAAGTGGCCAGGGGCCTTGCTGAGTCCTCGAGCGCAAGCGGCTTCCAAGTCGGCTGACCACGCAGCACCGCCAGGATTTGCTTTGCCGCGGCGACGGCGATCGGGACTGCGCGGTCGGAGCCTAGCGTTAACTTAGGCATGTCCCTCCACAGGGGGAATATTCAAGAATGGCAGACAATATCTGTAAGGGCTTCGCCCCCTGCCGCCGGCCCCCTCTCTCGGATAATGGGCTATGCAAAAGCTGAATCATGAGGCCTCGGCGCCGCCGTGAAGCAGCATCGGCAAGAGAAATTGAGATTCTGATGATATTGTTGAATTCAGTGTTGCATTTTGAACCTGCCCCCGTATGCTGTGAACTGAGGTTTTCCACAGAATTTCGGACATGTGGCAAATCACAAGGGTTTTTCGACCCTGACCCTGCTGATGTTGTTCGTCCCTGACCCCGCCGATCTGCGTGAGGGGTGCCGCCGAATTTCAGAAATGTAGTAGACCCAATGAGTTTTTCGACCCTGACTCTGCTGATCTGCGTGAGGGGTGCCGCCGAATTTTAGAAATGTAGCGAAGCCCACTGGTTGTTTGACCTTGACTCTGCTGATCTGCGTGAGGGGTGCCGCCGAATTTCAGAAATGTGGCAAATCCCATTGGTTTTGGACCCTGACCCCGCCGATCTGCGCGAGGGGTGCCGCCGAATTTCAAAAATGTGGCAAATCCCATGTGTTTTTAGACCCTGCCCCCGCCGATCTGCGTGAGGGAAGCAACCGAATTTCAGAAATGTAGCAAAGCCAATTTGTTTTTCGACCCTGACTCCGCCGATCTGCATGAGGGTTGCCGCCGAATTGTAAACATGTAACAAATCCCATTGGTTTTGGACCCTGACCCCGCCGATCTGCGTGAGGGGTGCCCCCGAGTGTCAGACATGTTGGACATCCCATGTGCTTTTAGACCCTGACCCCGCCGATCTGCGTGAGGGGTGCCGCCGCATTTCAGAAACGTGGCAAATCCCATGTGTAGACTCTGGCCCCGCCGATCTGCGTGAGGGGTGTCAATTTCATCCCCTAGAAATTTAGAGATCCCTCCGAGGACACGCTAACCAGGCTGATTTTCGGCTCCCTCCCTCGCGCGTTCGACAACAAGGAACAGTAAACAGCATGAAGCAGCACTGTAACAGTGGAAACTGGAAACTGGAACTGGCGCAGGGAACAGCAAACCCTCGTCCTACAGCATGGTGGCCCCACAAGGGGGCCGGCCGAGATGGTGACGGTTTGTCGTGCTCGTTTGATGTTTTGCTTATTTCTGGCTATTCTTTCTGTTCTTCCAAACCCGCCTGTAGGAGGACATGCCCGACCTAATTCTCGGGGAGGCCCAGGCGGTTTCTAGGGCACCCCTCTCGGGGCCCAGAGGGCCCCACGCGTTTTAGAGCGGCGCGAATTGTCGCGGGGAACACCGGGGGCCAGCATCACTTCTCCAGCACCCGACGAGGAGGAGAAGACTGGAGGAGGAGAAGACTGGAGGAGGAGGAGGAGGAGGAGGAGGAGGAGGAGGAGGAGGACCAGAGCAAACCCAACATGTGCCAGCGATGACGCAACACACCTTGCCATTACAAGTCCCCTTCCCGTCCGTCCCTGCACGCGCCCTAGGAGAATAAGGAGGAGGAGGAGGAGGACCAGAGCAAACCCAGATGTGCCAGCGACGTTGCAGCACACCTTGCCGTTCCAAGTCCCCTTCCCGATCGTCCCTGCACGCGCCCTAGTAGGAGGAGGAGGAGGAGGAGGAGGAGGAGGAGGAGGAGGAGGAGGACCAGAGCAAACCCAGATGTGCCAGCGATGATTGCAACACACCTTGCCATTCCAAGTCCCCTTCCCGTTCGTCCCTGCACGCGCCCTAAGGAGGAGGAGGAGAGGAGGAGGAGGGAGGCGGAGGAGGAGGAGGAGGAGGAGGAGGAGGAGGAGGAGGAGGACCGGAGCAAACCCAAGATGTTGTCAGCGATATTGCAGCACACCTTGCCGTTCAAGTCCCCTTCCCGCTCGTCCCTGCACGCGCCCTAGGAGGAGGAGGAGAGGCGGAGGAGGAGGAGGAGGAAACGAGGGAGGAGGAGGCGGAGGAGGAGGAGGAGGAGGAGGAGGACCAGAGCAAACCCAACATGTGCCAGCGATGATGCAACACACCTTGCCATTACAAGTCCCCTTCCCGTCCGTCGCTGCACGCGCCCTAGGAGAATAAGGAGGAGGAGGAGGAGGAGGAGGAGGACCAGAGCAAACCCAGATGTGCCAGCGACGTTGCAGCACACCTTGCCGTTCCAAGTCCCCTTCCCGATCGTCCTTGCACGCGCCCTAGTAGGAGGAGGAGGAGGAGGAGGAGGAGGAGGAGGAGGAGGAGGAGGAGGAGGAGGAGGAGGACCAGAGCAAACCAAGATGTGCCAAGCGATGATGCAACACACCTTGCCATTCCAAGTCCCCTTCCCGTTCGTCCCTGCACGCGCCCTAGGAGGAGGAGGGAGGAGGAGGAGGAGGAGGAGGAGGAGGAGGAGGAGGAGGAGGCGGAGGAGGAGGAGGAGGAGGAGGAGGACCGGAGCAAACCCAAGATGTGTCAGCGACATTGCAGCACACCTTGCCGTTCCAAGTCCCCTTCCCGCTCGTCCCTGCACGCGCCCTTTCTCAACGCGTGCAGCGCCGACCTGGCAAGGCGAGCGCCCCAGGGGCCCGCATTTTCCTGCGGGAGGTGCGTGCTGGAAGAGCCTGCTCTGGATATCTCGAGCTGCCTGCACGGGATGCCACAGGGCGTGGTCATGACGCAGCGTTCAGGCGTATGCCAAGCGGTAGCCCCGCTCGGGAGAGGAGGCCCCCCGCTGAACGAATTGTTGCTATAAACGACAGGTGCATTGCAAGAGAGTATTTTTTTGTAGGGTCGGGCGATGACCTGGATTATTGGGCCTGCCCCCCCCCCCCCTCCCCCCCCCCAGGGTAACCTAACCTTGCCGGTTGTGCAGGTCCGCGGGAGGGGGGGCGCGGGCGTATGCAGGGCTGCCCACAGCGCGAGGGTTAGGTTATCGGCCGGCCCCCTCCTCCTCCTCCTCCTCCTCCTCCTCTCCTCCTCCTCCTCTCCTCCTCCTCCTCCTCTCTCCTCCTCCTCCTTCCTCCTCCTCCTCCTCCTCCTCCTCCTCCTCCTCCTCCTCCTCCTCCTCCTCCTCCTCCTCCCCCCCAGGATAACCCGGGCTATCGCCGATTCCCCCAAAAAACTGTTTCTGATGCACACGAGCGCAGTCTCAAGCACAAGCACCGTGCTGAAAAGGAGCCGCCCTCCGCCCGTGCAGCTGTTACACAGGACGTGGCTGACGCATGTGCGTGTACAGATTAGTTGTATGTTTGTATATATATATATATGTGTGTACCTGTACACGTGTATGCAGATGTGTATATGTGTAGATGGGCCTGCGCATGTAAGTGTCAGTGTGTGTGTGCATGTGAGTGTGTGCATGCATATGTTGTGGCATTGCTGATGTAGATGTGTATATCTACACATATATATAAACATATGTAGATGCAGATGTAGAAGTACATGTAGGTACAGGTGTAGATGTACTTCGATGCATGGGGCAGTCTCATGTCAAAGCACTGGTTCCTTTACATTTGTACACGTTGGATGGTTTAAGACGAGTCTGCTCGGCTCCATGGCGGACTGGCCAGTTCAAAGACATTCGTCCTCCATCCGTGTAGCTGCTCGAAAACAAGCCTCCCTCCAACCGTGTCGTTGCTGGACTGCTTGAGACGAGCGTGGGCGGCGCCAACAGTGAGAGCCTCGTTTGGAAAAAGCGTTCGACCCATCCCGCCCCCCTATCCGTGCAAGTGTTGGAAACCCTTCGTTTCAAGGTCATCGACGGTGCGGAGGTCTCGAGGGGGGCGGCGCTGGAGGCGCCGCCATGGGGGCCAACGCAGATCCAAGGTGTCCGCACGGACCTCCAAAAACGTGTTCCTAAGAAATTCCCTCTTCTTTGAGTGGAGGGGGAGGAGGAGGAGGAGGAGGAGGAGGAGGAGGAGGAGGAGGAGGAGGAGGAGGAGGAGGAGGAGACGACACCTCTCGTGGCGCGACGGAGAGGAGCAACACATCCGGAAAGGGGGGTCGGAGGATGGCCTCGGCACCTGGCAGGAGCCAGACGCTCAAACGACTGCCGGGCTCCCACTGCGACCCCTGCGGCAAGGTTCTCTCGAGCTGTGGCGAAGCGTCCCGGCTCGCCTATGGCCCTGCCAAACAATGTTCTGAGAACCTCTTGTGATTCCCACGACATGTTCTTAGAACATTTCTGGCGGAGTCTGTTTTGTTTTACCACATCGGCATTTTTCTAAGAGCATTTCGTGATAGGACCATAGGAATGCCGGGGCGGTCGGTCCCTGCGCAATTCTCGGGTGTTCAGCGCCATCCTCTTCGGCTCACTCCGCTCGTGCTTCTATCGGTTATCATGCTCCTCCCCGTCTTCGACCCATGACGGAAAGCGTTGGCTTCCACCATGGGGCAGGAACATATTTTATTTTCGTCTGTTTGTCCACCGTTGATTTGTTTCAACCATTGGTTTCCTGGCGCCGTGCCATTTCCCGTCCGATTCGCTTCTCTCCTGTTCCCTTGTGAAGGCTCCACAGCAGGAGAGAGGTAAATGCGGGCCGCCAGCCTAGGAGACAGTGGAGGGTGTCTTCAAGGCCGCGTTCTTCAACAACGGGCAGACTTGCGTTGCCATCAAGCGCCTCTATGTCCACGAGGACCTGCCAGGTGGTGCGCAGGGCGTCGATGCGTTGTTTTAGCGTGACGATTATCCTGCCCCTCTGCGTCCTCCCCATCCGCCTCCTCTTCATCCCCATCCCTGTCATTGAAGATTATTATCCATCCTGTCCTTCTCGTCTCCTCCCCCTTCCCTCGTCACCCTTCCTCATCACCCTCCTCCTTCACCACACAGTGTCATACTGGAATAAATGCCCGAGAGAGAGAGAGATATTGTTGCGACAATAAAGAAGCAGCGCCTTCGAATAGCGTGCCACCTGCAGAGCTTGCGTGTAGCGCGCATCGCACTGGCCATGCACTACTACGCGCAAGAAGCCATTGGCAAACACTGCTCCTCCTCCTCCTCCTCCTCCTCCTCCTCCTCCTCCTCCACATTCTTCTGCTGCCCCATCAACCCCCTCCTCAATTTCCCTCCTCCTCCTCTTCCTCCTCCTCTTCCTATTCCCACCCTCCTCTCCTCCTCCCCATCCTCCCTGTCTTCCTCCCCTTCCTTCCCCCGCTCCTCTGCGTACCCTCCCGCTCCTCCTCTGCCTCCCCCATTCCCATCATCACCCTCATGCTTCTTCAGTCTCCCCCTGCTAGTTTCCCCCCCTCCCCCATCCCGGCGCTCCCCCTCCTCCGCGGCTCACTGGACGTGCACACTTCGCTCGCCAGCATGGTCAATGGCACCCTTCGCCTGCGGCGTTGCGCTCTTGAGATCTTTGGGCGTCTAGTTTGCGAAGCCGAAGTGGACAGGAGCAGCAGGATGTCGAGCAGCATGAGGAGACCAGAGGGAAGATATGGAGGGGGAGGAGGAAGAGGAGGAGGAGGAGGAGGAGCAGGAGGAGGAGGAGGGGTGGAGGAGGAAGGGGAGGGGGAGGAGGAGGACAAGCTGGACAAGTAGGAGGGAGGAAGGAGGGGGAGAAGGAGAAGGAGAAGAGGATGATGATGATGAGGAGGAGGAGGAGGAGAAGGAAGAGATGGAAGAGGAGAAAGAGGAGAAAGAGGAGGATGAGAATAAGGAAGAGGATATGGAGGATGAGGAGGAAGATGAGGAGGATGAGGAGGATGAGGAGGAGGAGACGGAGGACGAGCAGGGAAAGAAGAAGGAGAGAGGACGAGAAGGAGGATGAAGAGAACAAGGAGCAATTGCACTCCAGGCAAACATTCCCCCCGTTGTGATCAACGTAGCGGTCCGAACCATCCCAGCCGCCCACCGCAAGATGGCCACGCTTCCCGCATGCGTTCTGAGCCGACTGACGCCTGCGAGGACATCTTCGAGCCGTTCGTGGGCGCGCTGGTTGCACGTGCCCGCAAGGCCGCAGCGGACCATCCCAGACATCCGGCGGCTCGATGTTTCGTGCAAACCTCTCGGCCCCTTCCCCCTGGGAGCAGGCTGTATTCATCCCGACTGGTTTGCTGATCGATCCCTGGCCCGAAGCTGGCCTCTGGAGGCCCAAAGTTGCGAAGCCTTGGTAGTGTGTTCACCCCGAGCCGTTTCCTCAGCGCTCCCCTGGCCCGAGGAAGCTGGCCTCCGGAGGCCCGGGGTTGCGAAACACTGGCCGCATCGACGTCTTCGAGCCGTCCGATGGATGGGAGCCCTTTTCGAGAACTCACATCTGGGCCTCCTGAATGTGGTCCGAGTAGATGGAGTCGGAGGATCGCGCCGCATCGGCGATGCGTCGTCGATGCTTGATGTGGAGGCCGATGTATTGCACGCCGACGTCGCCGATGTATCGTCGTCGTCGCCGATGCATCGCCGATACACTGGCGATGCATTGGCGATGCGGCCCGACCTTCCGACCCCTTCTACTCGGACCCCATCTGGGAGGCCTCTGTCAAAGCTGGCATGCGCTCTTGCTCGGCTGCCCTTGCAGCTTCTTCTGACCTTCCTGTTCGCAGGTCAATGGCCACGGCGTCGCCCCCTCCTTCCAATTCCCAGCCCCACCTCTCCCATCCCAATCCACCTCCATAGCTCCCCTCCCACCCCCACGTTTTCCTGATCGCTCCTTCCCCTTCTCCTCCTCCTCCTCCTCCTCCTCCTCGCCCTCCTCCTCCTCCTCTTCCTCCACCTCCGTCTCCTCCCCCTCCTCCTCCTCCTCCTCCCCTCCTCCTCCTCCTCCTCCTCCTCCTCCTCCTCCTCCTCCTCCATTGATTGGGAGGGACGGGTGGGAGTTTGTTGGGGCGGTGCGGGAGGGATTGCCGTCTTGGGAAGGAGCTCGTAACGCAGAGGGCGAGTTGTTTCTTTTTGGTGACGGATCTGGCGGAGCCTTTTCCGACGACGTCAGGCGACGTCGCGTTGGTTCTGGCCTCGCGGCCCTCCGTTGGGACCCTCCCTCGGCCTCCTGGACCCTCCACGCGGGCCTCCTTGCCCCCCTCCCAGGCCCCCGCCAGACCGTCCCAAGAGGCGAATTATATGCGTTTTGCCTGGCTCTTGAGACGTGCCAGCAGGATTTCACGTTTGTTACAGATCACCTAGCCCTGCAGCGTGGTTGGCAGAATGGCAGATGTCTCAGGCCAGGCAGCCTTGGAGGTAAGAATAAGAATGGGGATCTCTGGCTGAGAATTCGGCACCTCGTGCAGGATCGACCTGGCGGCGTCTCCTCGGTCACGGTGCTCTGGACCCCATCTCATGCCGATCCCCAGACTTTGCATGGTTTCCAAAAATTTCTTGCTCTCGGCAACCAGCAAGCCGACGAGCTCGCGGGAAGCGCGGGCCACAAGTCGGCCACCCTTGCCCTCCCGCCTGTTCCCAGGACCGATGAATACGATGCTATCGCAGCCATTGTCCGACAGAGGGCACGACTGATCCTACGTTCATTAGGCAAGAATTCAGAGCCTCGAGGACTGTGGCCAGAGAGGCAACCCACCCAGGAGGCAGCCCCTCGTTCGATGTTGCAGACCGCGATCGCGGCTTCTCAGCACAAATTCGAGCGGTGTGCAGATAAATGGCGATGCTCTGCCTGCCTCATCATCGTCGATGCTTGCCACGTTATCCCAGCTGCCGCCACGGAGTGTGTACCGCCTTGCCCCCTTCCCGAGTTTGCTGCGTGTGGCGAGGTGCTGTGGTCGCGGGGTCCCCGTGTGATCAGTGGCAAGGCGATACACCCCTCCCACACGTTGGCCACCATCCCCAAGTGGCAAATGTTCTTCTGTGTGAAGTGCGGCCATACGGCCACACACCAGGTTAAAAGCCTACAGTTTCCTTGCCCTCTCCCCCACCAAGTGGGAGAGCGCAGGGCCCTGGGACCCACTGGCAAAGGCCTCGAAAACCTCAGCAGGATCAGGCGAGGCCTTCACCCGTCCAGATCGGGTCCCAGCAAGTGTGTTCTAGAGGCTATGCACGTTTCGGCAGCCGAAGCCGCGATCGGTTCCTACGCGGCGGGTGCTGCCTCCGAGTAAATTGTGAGGCCAGGGGGGCCTGTCGCGGTGTGCCGTGGGATGTCGCCCCCCACGGCCCTCCGAGAAATATTGGATGGCCCCCCTGGCGTCTCTGGGTTCCGAACGGACTACGTCCGATTGCTCCACTCCACTCCTCCTCCTCCTCCTCCTCCTCCCCCCCCTCCTCCTTCTCCTCCTTCTCCTCCTCCTCCATCTCCTCCTCCTCCTCCTCCGCTTGCGCCCGTCCCCTGTCGAGTGACCCTCTTCCCTTCGTGTCCTCTGGGTCCGCTGCAATCCCCTCCCCCTGCTCTGAGGCCGGGCATGTCCTCCTACAGGCGGATCGTGAGCGAAAAAGGAAGAATAGTAAAACAAAAGATCACAAGAGCACGAGGAAACCGTCACCTGACTATCTTTGTACTATTCTCGAGTATTCCTCCTGTGCAGGGACATGCCTGACTTAACCCTCGCACCGCCCCCGCATCGCCTCAGACCAGACCCTATTCAAAAGAGCACGGAAAACCGTCACTTGACGATCTTGTTGCTATTCTCGAATATTTCTCTTGTAGAGGGGCATGCTCGGATGCAACTCCTGGGAGGTCAAATTCTGATTCTGCCCTGGTCTGAAATCCGGCTTAATCCCGCTTAATCCAGCTTAATCCCGCTTAATCCGAGGCCCGTTTCGGCGTAACAGCTCCTAAATGGGGCTTAATCCTCCTTAATCGTTCCCACGAAAAACCTCGCAGTAGTTGCCTCCTAAGGCATGCTCGACTTACGCGGGCTCCCGTCCCCCCGCAGCGCCTCGGACCAGACCCCCGGGGGGCACCGCACCTGCGGAACCCTCGATCCTCGCTGCTAGGGAACGAGCTCGAGCCAGGCGGCTCGTCGTCGTCGTCGTCGTCGTCGTCGTCGTTGCGTTGTCGTCGTCGTCGTCATCCACGTCGTCGTCGTCGTCGTCGATGCGTCGTTGTCGTCGTCGTCATTGCGTCGTCGTCGTCGTCGGCATCCACGTCGTCGTCGTTGTTGCGTCGTCGTCGTTGCGTCGTCGTGGTCGTCGTCGTCAACATCGTCGTCGTCGTTGCGTCGTCGCTGAGTCGTCGTCGTGGTCGTGGTCGGGGGCGTCGTCGTCGTCGTCGCCGTCGTCGTCAACATCCTCGTTGTCGTCGTTGCGTCGACGCTGAGTCGCCGTCTTCGTCGCCAACATCGTCGTAGCCGTCGTTGCGTCGTCGCTCAGTCGTCATCGTCGTGGTCGTTGTTGTCATTGTCGTCGTCGCCGTCGTTGCGTCGTCGCTCAGTCGTCGTCGTCGTCGTGGTCGTTGTCGTCAACATCGTCGTCGTGGTCGTCGCGTCGTCGTCGTCAATATCGTCGTCGTCGTCAACATCGTCGTCGTCGTCGCAGTCGTCGTCGTCATCAACATCGTCGTCGTCGTCGTTGCGTCGTCGCTGAGTCGTCGTCGTCGTGGTTGCGTCGTTGTCGTCGCGTCGTCGTCGTGGTTGTCAACATCGTCGTCGTCGCTGCGTCGTCGCTGAGTCGTCGTCCTCCACGTCATCGTCGTAGTCGTCAACATCGTCGTTGTCGTCGTCGCTGTGTCGTCGTCATCGTCGTCGTCGTCAACCTCGTCGTCGTCGTTGCGTCGTCGCTGAGTCGTCGTGGTCGTCGTGGTCGTGGTCGTCGTCGTCGTGGTCGTCTTCGTCGTGGTCGTCGTCGTCGTCGCAGTCGTCGTCAGCGTTGTCGTCAACATCGTCGTCGTCGTTGCGTCCTCGCTGAGCTGTTGTCGTCGTCGTCGCCGACGCCGTCGTTGTCGTCAACATCGTCGTTGTCGTCGTTGCGTCGTCGCTGAGTCGTCGTTGCTGAGTCGTCATCCACGTCGTCGTCGTCAACATGATCGTCGTCGTTGTCGCGTCGCCGACGTCGTCAACAGCGTCGTCGTCGTTGCGTCTTCGCTGAGTCGCCGTCGTCGTTGTCCTCGTCGTCGTCGACATCAACGTCGTCGTCGTCGTTGCGTCGGTGTTGTCGCGTCGTCGTGGTCGTCGTCGTCGTCAACATCGTCGTCGTCGTTGCGTCGTCGCTGAGTCGTCGTGGTCGTGGTCGTCGTTGTCATTGTCGTCGTCGTCGTCGCCAACATCGTCATCATCATCGTTAGTGTCGTCGTTGCGTCGTCGCTGAGTCGTCGCCGTCGTCGTCGTCATCCACGTCGTCGTCGTCGTGGTCGTCGTCGTCGTTGCGTCGTCGCTGAGTCGTCGTCGCTGAGTCGTCGTCATCGTCGTCGTCACCCACGTTGTCGTCGTCAACGTTGCGTCGTTGTTGTCGCGTCGTCGTCGTCGTCAATATCGTCGTCGTCAACAGCTTCGTCGTCGTCGTTGCGTCGTCGCTGAGTCGTCGTCGTCGTCGTCGACATCCACGTCGTCGTCGTCGTCGTTGCGTCGTCGTCGTTGCGTCGTCGTGGTCGTCGTCGTCGTTGTGTCGTCGCTGAGTCGTCGTAGCGTGGACGTCATCGTCATGGTCGTCGTCGTCGACAACATCGTCATCATCATCGTCGTTGTCGTCGTTGCGTCGTCGCTGAGTCGTCGTCATTGTCGGCATCCACGTCCCCGCCGTCGTCGCTGAGTCGTCGTCATCGTCGTCGTCGCGTCGTCGCTGAGTCGTCGTCGCTGAGTCGTCGTCATCGTCGTCGTCATCAGTGCGTCGTTGTCATGGCGTCGTCGTTGTCGTTGTCGTCGTCAGCATCACCATCGTCGTCGTCGTCGTTGCGTCGTTGTCGTCGCGTCGTCGTGGTCGTCGTCGTCGTCAACATCGTCGTCGTCTTTGCGTCGTCGCTGAGTCGTCGTTGTCGTGGTCGTCGTAGTCATTGTCGTCGTCGTCATTGTCATCCACATCGTCGTTGTCGTCGTTGTGTCGTTGCTGAGTCGTCGTCGTTGTCGTCATCCACGTCGTCGTCGTCGTCGTCGTTGCGTCGTTGCTGAGTCGTCGTCGCTGAGTCGTCGTCATCCACGTCGTCGTCGTCGTCATCGTTGCGTCGTCGTCGTCGCGTCGTCGTCGTTGTTGTCGTCGTCGTCAACATCGTCGTCGTCGTTGCGGCGTCGCCGAGTCGTCGTCGTCGTCGTTGTCGTCGTCATCGTTGCGTCGTTGTCATCGCGTCGTCGTTGTCGTCGTCGTCGTCGTCAACGTCATCGTCGTCGTCGTCGTTGCGTCATTGTCGTCGCTGAGTCGTCGTCGTCGTCGTCGGCGTCGTTGTCGTCGTCGTCGTCGTCGCATACCACCTAGGTCCTGGGCCGCACACGCGTCCTGAGGAGGCCCCAAAACGGCCCACGCGTCCGGGCTCCGGGGACCAGCACATTGCACGCATTCACGCTGCAGGCTCCGACCAGAGAGAACGGAGACTGGAGAACGTCTCGGCCCGTGGCTGCGGCTTCCTCGGGCTAGCCAGTGCCAGCGCCCTGGTCTATGACAAAAGACCCCAGCCTCCTCCTCCTCTTCCTCCTCCTCCTTCTCCTCCCTCCTCCTCCCTCCTCTTCCTCCTCCTGCCTCCTCCCTCCTCCCTCCTCCTCCTCCTCCTCCTCCTCCTCCTCCTCCTCCCCCTCCTCCTCCCCCCCCTCCTCCTTCTCCTCCTCCTCCTCCTCCTCCTCCTCCTCCTCCTCCTCCTCCTCCTCCTCCTCCCACGGGGCCTTGGACAGACTTCCGAAGTTCTCGGTCGTCGGTGCTTGATCCTGCCCCTCCTGCCTCTCTGCGGGGTGTCGTGGCCCCTTTCGCGACCCTGGTCGGTCCCCGTCGTGGCTCGCACTTCGGGCTCTCGCTCCGTCCGTCTTCGGGCCCTCCGCTCTGTGCGCTGCTGGTGTGTTGGAGGGAGTCGGGGCTCGACGCTCCCCCCCCCGTCCAGATACGGTCAGGACATGTGGCTGAGCGTGTCGCTTCGTCGGCTCTGGCACGTCACGCTTCGGCGCGACACGCTATCCGCGTCCCAGTCCACGAGCGTTCATTTCCCGAGCTGTTCCCGACCTCCCGCTCCGCTATCCGCTCGCAGGGCACGGCGTGTCGCGGGGGCCGCATCAGCGACCCGCTAAGCCAAATTTCCCGAGCGCAGAGCCCCACGAGGCGGTGCTGGGGAACGGCCTCGACGAGGGCGTCGAGCTGGGCCCGCTGGCCAGCGACGTGCAGCTGCGTGCCCTGGATGAGCTGCTGCTGGACGCCAAACGGAATGGCGCCAAGGCGTCCGCGCCCGGGGCCTTTCACAGCCGCCGCGCCCGGCCTCTCGGCCCGCCGAGAGGTCCTCGAAGATCGCCGTCGGTTTCGAAGGTCGGCGGCGAGCGAGGGGGGGAAGTGTGAAGAAGGCCTTCTCAGATGGCGGCGGGACTTCTCTCAGAAGCCCTCGTGCCTTTAAGAAGTGTTTGCTTTGTCTTTTGTGAAGGATCAGAAGTCAGAAGACTTCTCAAAAGGCCGCGGGACTTCCGAGCCTACTTGGAAGGCCTTCTCCTTCTCACTTCTCCCCCTCGCTCGCCGCTGAGAAGGGGGATGAATGAGTGAGCTCATGGAGTCTTCTGAGGTTCAGTCAGACGCCTGTGCGCAAAGTTGCCGCCTTCAGGCCGCCAGCCAGCGGACATGCCAGGAAAAAAAGACTCTGAGAAGAGGCCGACGCGTCCTCACCTATGGAATGCCGCTGCGCTCTGCACGCATCGGCACTGGCCACTAGGCCAGCAACCCCAATGGAGGGCACGCATGCCGCGCGTCATGGGGCTGCCTGTCGGGCGCAGGGCTGGTCGCAACCCCCCTCCCAGGACCGCGCGAGGCGGAGGAAGAGGAGGAGTTGCCCCTTTTGTAGCCCCCTGGGGCGCTCTCGTGTCAGCAGCTAGACTCGCCTCGAATTTGCTTGTTAGGGCGCACCCGTTGAGGGGTCGGAGAGCTGCGGCACTGCGGCACCATCATCGTCGCGATGTTGGACAGCAGACGGAGTTACGGCAGGTTTTTGCCAGGTAGACACAGCGGTGACCCCAGAAGCGGGCGTTCAAGGTTGAACGCCGCTTGTGGCCCAGAATTAGCCGACCTCGAACGGCGCTATCGGAAAGCCGCGATCAATCAAGGTTGAACGATCGACACGGTGTCAGAAATTGGAAGTCATCACGACACGATCCTGCCGTACGGAATTACGGATAACGCGACCTTGCCGGCTACGATAATCGGGCCTCGACAGCTCAATGCGCTCTGCGAGCTCAGCCTCCGCAAGCATTGCGCCGCACCCCGTCCGAGGCACGGATCACATCATCGTCCCGGTTGCCGCCAGGGAGACGTCTGCACGTTTGGGCTAAGCGAGCGGGCTGCTGAGCTGAGGCCATCATTCATCGACGACAAAAAACCCTAACCATAATAATACGAGGAAGACGTGGCCTCACTGAGGTCCCCTCTTCGCACTGGGGCTAATGAGACTGGGCGGTTTGGTTCGATACATCTGCGGAACAGACCCCCTTATTCCTGCTTACTGTTCCTGGCCCTCCTAAATTAGGTCGCCTCCCAAAGGGTTATGGGTCCTGTTGTGCCTAATCAATACGTAGCGTAAGCCCAGCATGACGTGTGAGTGTGGCCGCAAGGTGCACCTACCTTCCAGGGAGGAGGGCGGGGGCCTCCTCCCCGCTCCCTCCCGCCCGCCTCCTCTTAATCCAGGAAGAGGAGGAGGAGGAGGAGGAGGAGGAGGAGGAGGAGGAGGAGGAGGAAGGAGGAGGAGAGGAGGAGGAGGAGGAGGTGCGCCCCCTGGCCTTCGCAAGAAGGAGGAGGAGGAGGAGAAGAGGAGGAGGAGGAGGAGGAGTGAGAGGCGGAGGGGGAGGAGGAGGAGGAGGAGGAGGAGGAGGAGGAGGAGGAGTGAGAGGCGGAGGGGGAGGAGGAGAGGGAGGAGGACGAGGAGGAGGAGGAGGACGAGGAGGAGGACCTCGTCTGAGACGTGTCGAGCGAGGGCGGGCTGGGCGTTTCGCCTGGGACTTCCTCCCCGACTAGGGCCCCGAATCGTGAAACTTCCAGCAGCTATTGCGATTTGCTAACTATCGCTCTCGCCTCAACGCCGCGCACAGTCGTCTTACATGTTCCAAGCAGCGACACGGATGGAGGGGTGTTGGTTTTTAATGTGGTTCTCGCCTCGGCGCCGCGCACATTCACCCTTCACGCTTCCAACAGTTACGTACATGGATGGAGGTGAGAGGTAACTTTCAATATGGGGTTCGCGCCTAAGTGTCGCGTTCATTTGCCTAAAGGGTTTCCGACTGTGACACGGATGGAGGGCGGCTCGTTATCAAAACGGAGCGTTCATTGGAGGTTTCTTCCGATTAATTGTTCGAATGTCGCGGAGGAGGGGGTGGAGAGGGTGACTTCGCGCCTTCAGACTGCCGCGATTGCGCAGGGTGGAACCACCCACGCGGTGCCAGAAGCCGACGCCGAGTCGCCACGACATGAGGAGGTGCTGGGGGGCCCGACACCGGACCAGGTTAGGACAAGGACAAATCCGTTCCAGAGCGCTCCGGAACGCTCTCAGAGCGTTCCGGAACGCTCCGAGAAGGCCGCGGCGCCCGAGACGTCCCCCAGATCCGCCGGATCTCAGAGATTCTCGATTGCGAAGACCTTACGGCCGGTGCCGCCGACCCAGAGGTTGAGGAGGAGGGCGCGGAGCCTGGGGAGGAAGATGAGAGAGGGATAGGAGGAAGAGGTGGATGAGGAGGAGTAATTTTTAGGAGCACAGGGGGGGAATGAATAGGAGGAGAGCGAGGCGAGCAGGGTCGCATGTACAGGTGGAGGGGGCGCCCGAAAGGGTCCCCCAGACCCGCCGGATCTCAGAGATTTTCGATTTTTAGCGCCCTGCCCGATCTTTTTCCTCGTCCTGGCGGGGCGGGCCGGCCGCCCCTCCCCCCCTGGGGAGGCGCTGCCTCCCCAGGCTCGCAGCGGCACCTCCCCCGCGTCTTGGCCCGCGAGCCTTCTTTGGGCTCCCCCCTTTTCGCTTGGTATCGCTCGGACGTGTGCACTTTTTCTCGGCGGGGATTATTAATGAGCATCCTGGATCATCCTGCGAAAAAGCCACGCACGAAATCGCAAAAAGCACAGGGAATGGACGTCTGAGCGACGGGGAGCTCGGGGGTGGACACAACCCCCACGCTGACACGTCGACTAGTGAATTGTCCGTGTTCGGTTCCCGAGAGGGCGCCGCGGCCGCCCTCTTCCAGGCCTGCGCCCGCCAGGTTCGGGCCCGAGGTCGTTTCCACGGAACCACGTTCTGCTCAAGGGGGCCCCGTCCGTCCCCGACACTCCCTTTTTGCCAAAGGAGGCCCTCGCCGAACAAGCGGTTCGCTGCGGGGGGGCGCCGCGCCCGCCCCGAGGGGTCCTCCTCATCCTCCTCCTCCTCCTCCTCCTCCTCCTCCTCCTCCTCCTCCGCCTCCTCCTCCTCCGCCTCCTCCTCCTCCTCCTCCTCCTCCTCCGCCTCCTCCTCGGCCTCCTCCTCCTCCTCCTCCTGCTCCTCGTCGGGGTGGGGCCCGGCACGGATGCTCGGCGGTCACCGCAGGTGCTGTGCGGCGGCGCGCCCATCGCCGGCCCTCCAGGCGACCTGCCCCGCCCCGGGCCGCGCGCGCGCCTCAGGACCGGGCGGGCCCTGCCCCGAAGTCGGGCAAGTTCTGCCCTCTGTGGCAGGGATATTCGAAAATAGGCAAAGAGTAGTCTGGGAACGATTTCCCGACCATGTTTGATTAGTTCTTGTGTTTTTTTAATGATCACGTTTTATTTGTGGACCAAAATCCGCCCGACCTAACCATGTCCCGCGCCACAGGCAGCTGCACAGGGTTGGGCCCTTTCGCTGCACACGAACTTCCATCGGCGGCGAGCCGAGGGGGGGAAGTGAGAAGGAGCAGGTCTTCTCGGAAGGTGCGGAAGCCCCCCGGCCTTATGAGAAGTTGTCTAAGCCGTCCCCGAAGACAGAAAACAACTTCTCAGAAGGCGCGAGGACTTCTGAGAAGTCCCGCCGCCTTCTAGGAAGGCCTTCTCCGTCTCATTTCCGCCCCCTCGCTCGCCGCCGATTGTAGGCCTCCTAGACGGGGTATGAGTAGCGATCGCGCCGCGTCGCTGATGCATCGGCGATGCGGCCCAATGCGGAGCCCGATTTTCTCTACGCCGATGTGTCGTCGACGTCGGCGATGCATTGGCGGTGCGGCGCGATCCTCTGACCCCATCTACCCGGACCCCATCTAGGAGGCCTCTAGAATTGCCTGTTCGAGCTTCTGGTAGCTGCATGAGGCCTCAGGGGAACTCCCGGGACCTCCGGGGGCCGCCGAGAGCTTCCCGCAGACGTCTGCAGATCATCGGCGGCCATCGGCGACCTTGGGCGGCCTTCGCTGTCGTCGTCGTCGTCGTCGTCGTCGTCGTCGTCGTCGTCGTCGAAGTCGTCATTGTCTTCGTTGTCCTTCGTCGGGTTTCGGAGATCAAGGGTGAAAGTTTTGATTCGTTACTCCCTCAAAGAATAAATTATTGTTTTAGCTTCCAGGGGCTTTGGGAGGCAACTGGGGACCTCCTGCCACGTTAAGACACCTCCGCGGGCCTCCGAATACCTCGGGAGGCCGGGCCATCGGCGGTTCTGTGCGGCATTCGGCGGTCGTCGTCGTCGTCGTCGTCGTCGTCATTCTGATCATCGTCATCATAGTTGCTATAGTTATCGCCACCAATCGGCTCTAGCAACCGCTCCGTCTAGAGAGATTCCGAGGCTTAGGCTCGCGCATTCAAGCGTGCTCGCGTTCGTGCAGACAATGGTGCCACGTGTAGCGCAGACTGACCATGTGTGCAAACACAGAGCTGGCTGTGGCCTTCCTATTTAGCGGCCGCGCTGCTAGTGTGGCGAGTGCCGCTCCGCGTCGTGCCTGCCCTGGTTGCTGCTATCGTCGCGGTCAGCTCATCGTGTCCATTCGCCCATGTTCCCGATCATTGGGCACTTGCAAAACAAAGTCGGGAAGTCGACCGTACAGGTCGTGGTCTGGTGCACGTGGCAGCAGCTGGAGAAAGTCGACCTGAGGCACTTGGAACTATTGTGGGCCTTCTGTACGTTCCTGATCAAGGATCCGTCACTTGAGGGGGAGCTCCAGCATCAATTGCACATGGATCGCAGTTGGGGGCCCAATAGCCCGCCTCGGACCTCTCGGATTCGCTTTCGAGGACCTATCGCCGATCTATCAGCGATGCATCGTCGATAACGAAGCGATGTTTCCCCCCCTGAGCCGGGCACCCCGGCGTTGCCCCTCACAGCTTGCTGTGGGCCCTGGTGCATGTTCGCTGGTGGCTCTGTGCCTGCCTCAGCGGTTTTTGGAAAGCAGCGCGCACACAGCAGTAGGAGGCGATGGAGATTTGATTCGGCGCATGCCACAAATGTTGGTAGCTCCGAACTTGTGGACGCCATTTTCTCTGGCCGCATTTTTCCTCCCCAAGTAGATCTGCCTGTGGAAACCAATGGTTCAGGAAGGAAAGAAACACACAGACACAATTAATCGTCGACTGCCCAGAAAATATTAGAAACTATGGGGAGTAGGGGGGGAAGACGAAAACCTCCAAAATATAGGAAAATATGTGGAATCCTGTTATTTGTGTGTATTTATTTGTGTGTCACTGGGTACCTTCGAATTTGTGCACACCATTTTCTCTGGCCGCATTTTTCCTCCCCAGGTAGATCTGCCTGTGGAAACCAACGGTTGCGGAGCCATCGGTGTCCCTTGGGGTTGACTGGGGTTGTCTGGGGTTGCCTGGACTTGCCCGTGCGATGCCAAGCAATGCCGAGCAACGCCGAGCAATGCCAAGCAACGCCAAGCAATGTCAAGCACTGCCAAAAAATGTCCAGCAATACCGAGCAATGCCAAGCAACGCCAAGCAATGCCAAGCAATGTCGGGCAATGCAAGGCAATGCAAGGCATGTCAAGCAATTCCAAGCAATACCAAGCAACGCAGACAAATGCCCAGCAGTAGTAAGCAACGACTTACAGCAGTAGCACTCCATCTGCGTCATGGAATGCCAGAACACTGCTTTGCAGTGAGTTTTCCCAGCAGCTTGCTGAACGGGGTGCTGTTGTCATAGAACATAGCCGGTCGAGGAACCGCCCAGCAGAGACATCCTCCAAAAACATTCGGTGGTCATGGCCGTTTCGCCTGAGACTTCCCCGCAAATCTCGTTTGTGAGTTGGCCGGGGTTGGAGAGCGCTTCGCCTCACACATCCTCCCAATTCTGAGCTCCGAGACGCCGCGCGCCAAGTGGTCCGGCGCGCTTCGCCCGAGGCATCCTCGCGATTCGAGTCTCCGAGATGCTGCGCGCGAGGTGGTCCAGCCCGGTTCGCCTGAGGCATCCTCACAATTCCTTCCGGGCATCTTGAAGATGTGCGCGGGATTGTCCAGCTCGTTTCGCCTGAGACATCCTCGCAATTCTGGGCTCTCAGTAAATGTGCGAGAGGTTTGGCGCGTTTCGCTTGAGACATCCTCGCAACTCTGCGCTCCGAGACGCCGCGTGCGAGGTGGTACAGCGCGTCTTGCTCTAGGCATCCTCACAACTCTAAGCTCCGAGCTGCCGCGCGCGAGATGGTTCTGCTCGTTTCGCCTGAGAAGTCCTCCCAATTCTTAGCTCCGAGACGCCGCGTGCGAGGTGGTCTGGCGCATCGCATTTCGCCTGAGCCATCCTCGCAACTCTGAGCTCCGAGACGCCACGCGCGAGGGGGTCTGGCGCGTTCCCCTGCACTTGCAAGGTTGTCTGGCCCGTTTCGCTTGAGACATCCTCGAAACTCTAGGCTCCGAGAGGGAGGAGAATGGAGGGAGGCGGAGTCAAACCCAAACGTGTCATTTGATTTACACGTCTGTTGTCGAATTCTGCTCTGGGAGGCCGTCTGAGACATCCTCGCAACTCTGAGCTCCCAGATGTTGCACACGAGGTGGTCCAGCCCGTTTCGCCCGAGAAATCCTCGCGATTCGAGTCTCCGAGATGCTGCGCGCGAGGTGGTCCAGCCCGGTTCGCCTGAGGCATCAACTCCCTCCGGGCATCTTGAAGATGTGCGCGGGATTGTCCAGCTCGTTTCGCCTGAGACATCCTCGCAATTCTGGGCTCTCAGAAGATGTGCGCGAGAGGTTTGGCGCGTTTCGCTTGAGACATCCTCGCAACTCTCGGCTTTCAGATGCCGCGGGCGAGGTGGCCTGGCCCGTTTCGCCGGAGACATCCTCGCAACTCTTAGGCTCGGAGAGGGAGGAGAGAGGAGCGAGGAGGGGCCACACCCAAACGAACCATTCGATTCCACTTCTGTTGTCGAACTGTGCTCCGAGGGAGGTCTGGGCGCCCCTGGCGCGACGGAGGAGGCAGCCGGCGCCTAGGCGCGAGCACGATTCCTGGGTGAGCGAGTCGTGGAGATGCCTCGACTCGAGCGCGGCGAGCGGGCAGAAGGCAGGACGGTGGAGGAGAGAGGGAGGAGAGAGAGAGCTCCGAGATGTTGCGGGAGAGGAAGAATGGAGATGGGGCCAGGCTCAAACGCTGCCTCTTTGAGGGCATCCTTGACGAGGGTGCTTCCTGGAAGCGGCATGGGGAGAGCGAAGGCATCCCTGGCATGGCGGAGGAAGCGGAACGCAGGAGGAAGTACGAGGAGGAGGAGGAGGAGGAGGAGGAGGAGGATGAACATTGTGAGGAGGAGGCGGAGGAGGAGGAGGAGGGGGAGGAAGAGGAGGAGGAACATTGCGAAAGGGAGGAGGACGAGTAACACGAGGAAGAGTATAAGGAGGAGAAGTACATGGAGGAAATCAATGACGAGGTAGAGGAAGAGGAGGAGGAAGACCAAAACGACGAGGAGAAACGCATCAGGAGCGCGAGAATAATGTTGTATGAGGACGGGGACGAGGGAAGTTGATATGGGGAGATACAGGAAGAGGAGGAGGAGGAAGAGAAGGGGGAGGAGGATCAGGAGGATCAGGAGGATCAGGATGAGGAAGATGACGAGGAGGAAGAGGAGGAGCGAGGGGAAGGGAGAAGGGGGGTGAAGAGGAGGAGGAAGAGGAGGAGGAGGAGGAGGTGTAGTGGAAGGGGGAGGGCGAATGTGAGGAGGAAAGTCACGTGGATGCGGGGGAGGAGGAGGACGACGACGACGATCAGAAGGTGGAGAACGCGCGAAAACTCTTTGGAGCCACTGTGGCTCAGAAAGCGCTTCTGGGGGATACTGGGCACTAGCCAAAACAGTATATTGCTCAGACTTGCGTTGCATTGCTTTGGGGAAACTCCAAGCCCATGCATCGAGAGCACAACTCGGCCTCGGACAAGGCAGCGAATCATCATGCTTTGTTCCTCCAGCAGCACGCAGCACGAGGCCACTCAGGGACGCCCCAGACTGAAATTCCATGTCGACGGGAGCCGTAGAGAGATGGACATACTTGCGCAGGCGTGTTTTTTTTTCGACGCGCGCACAGGCGAAACAGTGTGCGATCTCATGTGCGGAACGACGGTGCCCCTGGCTGTGGCGAATGTTTGCCAGGCAGAGTTGGCAGAGCTGGTAGTTGGAGTTGTCCTAGTCGACTGGCTGCTGATCAGAGGAGGCCAGTACGACGAGACGTGCAACGCGGTCACGTCTTTCGTTTGCGCAAACAACGCGAAGGTGACCAACATCGCACAGCTCCTTCCGACCGCTGCCCAACACCCGGGTTCGGACAGCAATCGGGGCGATCGAAGTGGGTACGGAACGCACGGGGGCGAAAACCGACAGCAGCCCTGTCTGTTGCGTGCTTGAATGGCTGCCGGTGCCGCCGTGGACGGTGTCCACTGGAGACAAAAATGTCGCCCGCTCGACAGCGGCCGCTGTCGGATTTCGAAAACAGCTGTTGTTCTGCATCTTACCCGTTGTTCCCAACCATCCTGTGGTGTTGGGTACTCGTTTTGAATCATCGGCGCCCCGCGTCCCAACTTCCTTCCATCCCTCCCCCCTCCCCCCTCCCCCCTCCCCCTCCCCCCTCCCCCTCCCCCTCTCTCACCTCGCCATTCCGGCACACATCTTGCACGTTTCGTGGCCCCATACGGAGCTCCACCTGAGGCCCGAGCGGTTGCGCCCGCATGCCGTCACCATTCCACTTTGGCACACCCTTCGTCTTCGTGGCCCCAGAAGAAGCTCCACCTAAGGCCCTACCTAAGGCCCTTGTGGTTGCTCCCGATGACGCAACCATCCCCGTGTGGCGCACCCTGCTCACTTTTCCTGGCCCCATATGAAGCTCCCTCGAAGTGGTTGCGACCTCATGCCGCCACCGCCATGGCGCACCTCTCGCACGTTTCGTGGCCCCATGGGAAGCTCCACCCAATGCCCCAGTGGGTGCGCCCGCATGCCGCTACCACCCCACTTTCGTGGCCCCATCGAGGGCTCCACCGAAGGCCCCTGTAGTTGCGCCCACATGCCGCCACCACCCCACTTTGGCGCACCCCTCACACGTTTTGTGACCCAATGGGGAGCTCCGTCTAAGGCCCCAGTGGTTGCACCCGCATGCCGCCACCATACTTGTTTGGCGCACCCCTTCACACGTCTCGTGGCCCCGTAGGGAGCTCCACCTTAGGCCCCAGTGGTTGCGCCCGCATGCCCCCCCCCCCCCGTGCCACACTGAGGCACACCCCTGGCACGTTCCGTGGACCCACAGGGAGCTCCGCCGAAGGCCTCAGTGACTGTGCCCGCATGCCGCCACCACTCCACTTTGGCATACCCCTCACACGTTTCGTGGCCCCGTAGAGAGTTCCACCGAAGTCCCCAGTTGCGGAGAGTTCGCGCACCTTTTCCAAACCGTTCTGGCACACCTTTCACATATTTTTCGTGGTCCCCTGGGGAGCTACACCAAAGGCCCCAGTGACAAGAATCGCATGCGTGACCTCGCCGATGCCGGCATACCCCTTACACCTAAGGCTCCATTTGCAGGAATCGCATGCGTGACCGTGCCCCTTTCGGCGCACCCCTCACACGTGTTGTAGCCCAAGGGGGAGCCCCGCCTAAGGCCCCAGTGGCGGGAGTCGCATGCGTGATCGCGCCTATTTCAGCACACCCCTCGCACGACTCGCGGCCCCCGAGGGAGCTCCACTGAACTCTCTCCATCGGCAAGAATTGCATGCGTGGCAGCGCCCATTTTGGCACACCCCTCGCACGCTTCGTGGCCCCATGGGAGCTCCATCAAAGGCCCCGCCGCCTGCTGCTCCCCAGACCGCTGGGTCGACAGATGCTCAGAGCAGCCGTGACTTGTTACATCCAGATATAACCCGTTGCGGTTGACCCTTGCGACCCCATCAGCAATGTCGTCTTTTTCAAGCACGCCTTAATCCTTTTGCTCGTCCCCCCCTTGAGTTTCCACTAGTCTTGCGGTACACGCAGCTGCATATGGTTGAGTCCCCCACCAGGCTAAGTTCCTTACCTTTTGCGGGCGTGCCAAGGGAAGGAGAGAGGACATGGAGAGGGGCAGGGGGAACGAGGAAGAGCGAGGGAGCGGAGAGAGGGCAGCGCGGGAGAACCGCGTGGGGGGGGGGGCGGGAGGTGGGCGCGGCGCAGCGAGCAGCAGGGCGTGCGCCTGGGGTGGGCGGGTCGGGGGGGCGCGCTGCTGCGCCTGGGGCCCCGCCAGGCGACGACGGCTCCGACACGGGCCTCTTCTTCCTGCCCACCATCATCACCGGCGTCCAGGTCGGGCGCCCGTGCCAATCGGGGGCGGCAAAGAGGGGGGTGATGACTAGGGGGGGGGTATATTCCATGATATTTCCCCTGATCTCATGGCGCCCCTTCTTATTTCATTACGTCCCTGGCCCCCCTGCTGGGCCGCGCACATCCCGCCGGTCATGATTTGCACCCCCCCTCTTGGACACCCCCCTGTTGGCCGCTCCCGAGCCAATGGGGGGCCCACGGCACGCCTCCCGTGCGCTTGCTGCGATCCTGCTGCCCCGCCAGTTTCTTCTGCTCCGAGTCGGTGCTCCTGCTCCTGCTATGCCTTGGGCTCCTCTTCGCCTTGCCTTCGAGGCAGCACCCATCGCCTCCTCCTCCTCCTCCACCTCCTCCTCCTCAACAACAACGACAAACTCGGGAACTGGAACATGTACATTACATGTGCATTGCCAGCGGCGTGCTGCTTTTCAATCGCAGGACTTTTCGAGGGTCGGAAACGACGTCGAGGTGGTGTGGTGTAAACTTGTTGTCCGCTTTCCCAGGGAAGCAACGAAACATGTGTACACCAGGATCCCGTATACACCAGGATCCGTTCTCCTGTGCGAGTTTCGGTGCGGGGCCGGAAACAGCGTCGGTGTATAGAGTTCGGCTCCTCAACAAACGGAGAGAGTTCAGGGACGGGTGCCCTCGGACTCTGAGGCCCCGCGCTGCGCCCGCGCTGCGCGTCTCGCAGGCCCCGTCGCCAAGCCAGACGGCATTGGCTCCATGTTTCGGAGGACCCCACGCGCCAGATTCACGGATCCGTGATCCATGTTGTCGTTCGCCCGATCGCCCCTCTGTCTTCATTGTCTTTTTCCTTTTCTCTTCTCAAAATGAAATTTCGTCCCTGTCGTACCCCCAGACGTGTCAATCTGGCGGGCTTGGCGTTTCGCCTGAGACTTCTTCACTACTTGTAATGCTGGCTCTTGGAATTTGCAACAACTTCAAGGATGGAGGACTGGTGGCATTCGAAATGTATGTCCTCACGTGAGCGCCGCGTGCATTCTCTTTACAGTTCGCAACAGCTTCAAGGATGGAGGGTGGGTGGTTTTCCGAGTGCCGATTTGGAGTGCCCGATCGGTCGCTATCGATCGCGACCGAAGAACATTCGGTATCCAATGATCTGGGTACATCGGTTTGGCACCCGGTGGTCGGATATCGGGTCCAGGACCCAGGATCTCACCCTGCTCAGGGCGAGGCACTCTGGGCCTGCCCCGCCAACCTATGGCCGTGGAATGACCGTGGGTCGGGAGCGCTTCAGCCTGTTCGCCCTTGCGCATCTGCCCTTTATACAGGGAGAGAGGCTGAGGCTGCGCGTCCACTCGACATGGCGGCATGCATTGCCATTGCAGTCAACCCGCATGGTAAGGATGAGCAGCTTTTTCAAGGCTGCCCTTGCATCCTTGCCCCTCCAGCCCATTCTTAGCGACTTTCGCTGGTCAACCTCGTTCGGAAAACTTTCACATGGGCCTCCAAGGCCCTCGCATTCTTACCGCGCATCCTTATGATACGGGTCGACTTCATCGTCGCCCTACTTTGTCCTGTCCTCTCTCCGCCTCCACATCCACCTGCCCTCCCATCCCTCGTCCAGGAGGGCACGAGGCTGGTTGACGAGGAACAGTTCGGCCCCGTGCTGCCCGTGATGTCCTTCCGGAGCGACGAGGACTTCTGGGATACAGTCGGGGCACTGAAGAAGGAACCCTTTTCGTTGGGTTGGGGAGTGGCTCGGTGTTCCTTGATTGTTTCAAAGTTTGCCTCGGGTTTTCCTGAGGTTTTCCATGGGGAATCGAGGTTGAACTTATTGGGAAAAGGGGGCCTCGTTCCTTATTTAGGGTTCCTGAGGTCAACGCCTCGACTGTACGCGTCCGTGGGTCGGTCGTCCACTCGCCTGCAGCAGGGCGTTCGCGCTGGCCCGTCTCCCATCGGAGTTTGCGGATCCGCGTCTGGTGGCATCCACCACGGCACAGTGGCAGCAGCAAGTACTATGCCTGATGCCACTTGGGGCACAGCCCTGATGGTGTGGAGGCTATGCTTAGCAGTAAATCGGGCCTGCACCTCTACAGGGGGAATATTCAAAGATAGTAAAAAGACAGTTTTGGGACGATGCTTTGACTGTGTTTGCCCATTTGGGGGTACTTCTTGGGTATTTCTCATTTTTCGCCCAAAATCCCCCTGCAGGTGGACACGCCAGACTTAAGCTTAGCAACATCTCCTCATGGTTCCCATCGTCTCTGCTGGTGCCGAAGGACAAGATACCTCCAGATCTGAGGGATCCTTCGGGAGGGCTCGGTGAAGATCGCCGTCCACAGTCTTCCTAGATATGTGTCGGGGGTGAACAGCCCCCCCACCCTGACACGTCGATTAGTGAATTGTCCGTTTTCGGTTCTCGAGAGGGTGCCACGGCCGTCGTTTTCCAAGCTTGCGCCCGCCAGGTCTGGGCCCGAGGTCGTTTTCACTAAACCACGTGTTGCTAAAGGGGGTTCTGTCCATCCCCGATAGAGATGTGTCGCAGTGCTCCGCCCCGGTTGTTCTTCCATCCGACGTCGACGACCCCGACCGACCGACTGACGCACCGACCCGCCGACGACCGACGACGCGCGGCAGTCTCTGGGAGGCGCGAAGCAAAACGGGCGCCAGTCTGTCAAACAAATCGATCCTCGAGCCCGGGCTGGTAAGTTTTGATGTAGCCCTGGATCGACTAGACGTAAGAGTGACCTTGCGCCGGAGTGACCTTTGGTGCGGGCCCAACGGGGTCCCCCGACTGCTGAACGCGATGCGGCAGTAGCGTCTTGCGCGCGTGTGTTCGGTCCTCCCGCGGCCCCCCAAAAGCCGCGCACCAGAGGTCACTCTTACCCAGGGCCACTCTTGCGTGTAGCCGACTGGATCCGAACCCCCAGAGGTCCCTTCGAGGCCCGTGGTGGGCCAGAAGCGCCCCAGACTCTCGATCACCAATCCCCGGCGACCACGACCACGACCACGGCGGCGACGGCAACGTTGACGTCGTCGACGTCGGGCGAGCGACGAGCGACCGCGAGCGACGCGCGACGACGAGCGACGAACCGCCCTCCAGCTCGCGGCACAGGAGGCGATCCGGCGGGCGAACGGCACCCCGTACGGCCTCGGAGCCTCCGTGTGGAGTGCCGACGCGGGCGCCCCAGCGACGAGCCGCCCCGGCCGTCGGCCGTCTCGTCGGTCGGTCGTCGGTCCGTCCTCGTCGACATTGAAGTCAGGCGAGAGGTTTTCGAGTAGCCCCCAGCAGTTTCGAAGCCGCTCGAGGGTTTCCAGGGAGAGTCCCGGACATGTTGAGACACTCTTGGGTTTTCATTGTAATCCGATTGGGGTCTTGTTGGAATCCTCTTGGGATCTTGGTGGGATCCCACACTCATGGGTCCATGGCCGGGATATCATTTCCAGGGGGTCAATGATCGTTTATCAAGGCTAGTTGTCGCGTCATCCTGGCGTTCGTGACCCTCCTCTTCCTCCTCCTCTTCCGCTTCCTGCTCCTCTCCCTCACCGTCCTCCTCGCGTCGTCGCCGCTCTCCTCGTCCTTTTCTCGCCCTCTCTCCTCCACCTCCTCTTCCGCTTCCGCTTCCTGCGCCCCACCCTCCTCCCCGCGCCGTCGCCGTCTCGCCCTTCTCTCGCCCCCTCTCTTCTCCGCCCTCCTCGTCCCTCATGGCGAGGGTGCGGCAGTGGCCAGCCACTCCGGGGTGGCCCCGCTGCCCGCTGCCGCCCCCGCTGCCCCCCGCTCGGGGGCCGCAGCGCGGCGCCCCCCCCGTGCACGCCGGGAGCCTCGGCCCACGCACTGCACACGCAGCGGCCGCCGCCGCGCCGGCACGGCCTCGCGGCAGGGGGGGGGGCCTCTGCGCTTCGTGCGGCGCGCTCTCTCTCTCTCTCTCTCTCTCGCGGGGGCGCCGCCCCCGCCGACGGCCCCGGGCCGACCCCCCGTCGCGGACGGCCACCTCGCTGCCGAGAGCGCGCCCTGCAGTGGGAACGCATGCCAAGGAAGGCCCTCCCCGCTTGCCTCCGGGGTGCCCTGGGCTTTTTTGGGCGTCGATGGTTTTGCGATGGAAAGCGTGACGCTCCCACACCCCGAATCCATGCACGCCCTGGGGTCCCAGGGTCGGCTGTCCTGTGGAAGGCTTCTCGTGGTCGGGCTCCTACTGTACCCCCAGCGCGGTGCGCCGACAAGGTGAGGCCGATCCCTCCGCGGGGGGGCGCCCCCGGAGCTCATCGACGGAGCGCGGGGCCGGCGTGCCGTTGAGGATCGGAGCCTCCACCGCGCGAGGGGCAAGCGCAGGCAGCTAGAGCGAGCTCAGGGCCGACGCCGCCCAAGGCCCGGTGTGCCGGAGGCCCCGCACGTCAGCACCGCCAACGCCAAGATGGAGGGCCGTCCGTAGCTTTGAGTTGGGCCTGTCCTTCTGCAGGAGGCAGATTCCAGAATAGTAAAACATAGTCTGGGGACTATGGTTTGAGAGTTGTTTTGCCATGTTTGCGTGTTTTTACGTATCTGTCATTTTTTCGTCCAACATCAGGCTGCAGGGGACACGCCCGACTTAACCGTAGCTATTCTGGTTCATGCTCTTCTGGCCAGGGCCATCGCGGACGCGTCGAGCAGTACGGTGTTTTTTGTTCCAGTGCCCGTAGACTGTTGTTTTTGTCCCGTTGGTAGCCGTGCCACCACGGGCCATGAGGAGAGGCGGGAGGAACGGAGGCTGCCTGAAGGCCCCCTTGGCTCACACGCTGGCGCTTTTGTTGCTCGCCGCCCGCGCTGTCAGCGGGGGTTCGGACGAGCTCCTGGACGCGCTCGCGAACAGCACGGGCGCGGTTTTCCAGCACATCGACGAGGCCTACTCGTTCCTGGGGTGCGTGGGGCAGGAGACGGAGCGGTGCCGGGACCTGTACGAGCAGAAGCAGGCGGCGCAGACGGTGGCCGCGGCCGTCGGCGGCGCCGTTCTGGACCAGAGCGGCTGGAGGGCGCTGGTGGAGGCCGCGGGGCGCATGCCGGCTCTGGACGGGAGCGACGACATCGACGACGAGCTCGAGGCGACGGTGCTGAGCCAGGGGGTGACGGTGGACCACCTGGTGCGCTGGGTCTCCGAGGCAACGGGCGAGGCCCGAGGAGCGTCTAATGTCACATTGCTCATGTCTAATTCCTCGGAAATTCCTTGATTTTTGGGGGGAGCCAAGATCCTTTCATTTGTAACTGTTATGTCCTGGGCCTATTCCTGGCCACTGGGGGGCCAGGAACAAGTAGAGAAGATCACAGTTTTGAAATGAGCACGACTGGAAATGAACGATGTGTAGATAAAGAGAATTGATCGGGGGTCCGCACGGGTTTCCTGGATCGGCGCTGGACACCCCTATACCTGTCGCGCGGAGCGCACCAGAGACGGCGCCGGAGGCGCCGCCAGGATGTCCAGCGCCCAGAAGTCCGCGCGGACCCGAAGTTTCATATTTATGCTGACGGTGTTTCTGCTGGAGGCCGTGGGGTACGAGTACTTCTTGGACGACGATTACGACAGGCGGCTTTCAGCGACCTGGCAGGGGGTGCAGGTGGCATTGGGAAGGCCGTGGCCTGACCGTCTCGTCCACTGGACGTTCCATCCGGACTTGGGCTCTTGGGCGCGGTCGGTGCTTCTGAGCGCGATGAAGGAGCTAGAGACGAAGACCTGCGTGCGCTTCCAGGATTGGGTCGGACGAAGGAGGGGGACGGGGAGAGGAGGGGCTACGGGAACTTCTGCATGCGCTGCACGCAGCTGGTCTCGGCGCCGCCGTAGGACACCCTTCCTCGATACACGGGCGCCTCCCAGCGCCGGGAGGCGCCATGGAAATCAGTTGTACGGCAGCTGATTCGGATCGGTGCTAACTGCTACCACCCCGTCTTTCGTGCGGTCCGACAGGAGCACGCGTATGGATCTGCGCACCTGGTGACCCTGGCGCACATCGAAATGACCGACAGCGAAGCGGGCTGCTGGGCAACGATCGGGTACAGGGGTGAGGCGCGGCTGAACCTTGGCTTCGGGTGCGCCTTCCACAGCATCGCGTTGCACGAGCTGCTGCACACGCTGGGACAGGCGCACGAGCACAGCCGGAAGGATCGGGATCACTTCGTCGAGGTGAAATGGGAAAATATCATGACCGGCATGGAGCACAACTACAATATCTATCAAGCCGCGTACACAGCAGGGCCATACGACTACGCGTCCTTGATGCACTACCCGCGCTTCGCGTTCAGCAAGAACCAATGGACAATGGACCCGGCGATCAGCTGGACCCTCGGAGCATTATCGTCATTGGGCTTTGATGCAGCAAGCGACGAGACAGTCAGAGCGAAGAATCCGAAGTTCCAGAACGACATCGGCACAGGATACAAGATAACGGACCACGACGTCCTCCAGGTCCTTCACATGTACCAGTGCCCAAAAATGACTGTCCAGAGCGCCAACGCCTGGACCATTAGGGAAACGAAGACTGGCATAGACATAAAAACTCGAAGGTCCGCGCGGATTTTTTCGGATCGGCGCTGGACCCCCCTCCCTGGCGCGCGGAGCGCGCCAGGGGCAGCGCCGGAGGCGCCGCCAGAGGGTCCAGCGCGGATCCGAGAAATTCGCGCGGACCTTCGAGTTTTTCTGCTTCTGCCATTCTTCGCTCCCCTGACCATGAAGCCGACGACCTCCTGCATCGGCGGGCTGACCGCGACCTCCTGCTCGTGCTACAGCGACCGGGGCGACTGCCGGGGCGCCTACCTGGCCGAGTCCCGGGTGGGCAGCGACTGCGTGGCGGCCAGCAGGACCGCCCTCTCGCCGTCGCCGACCCGCGCCTACGCCATCTGCCACAGGCTTCGGGGGCGGCCGAGAGGGGGCCGATGACTAGGGGGGGGTGGGTATCGTGGCGGGGGCCATGAGGTCTCCCCAGATCTTGTGTAGCTCAATGCATGCGTCCCCTGCCCCTCCCCCCCCCTGGGCCGCGCAGATGCCGCCGACCATGATCGGCGCCCCTCCCCCCTCGTGGACGCCACCCTCGTGGCCGCCCCCGGAGGTTCGCGTCGCCCCACTACCTCCTGCGCCGCCTCTCCGGCCTCGGCGAGTCCGGCACGGCGTCCGAGTCGTGCCACGGCGACTACAAGCTCCTCGGCTGCAGCTGCATCTCCAGCGGCGACTACAGCTGCGGCGCCGCTCCCGCGGGGGACGCCCGCAGAAGGCCTCGATCTGTGCACCGCCAGCGTGCCTGACGCTGGGGCTACCCTGGGCCCCGGGAGGGTGCACGGACCCTCCCAGCCTCGGCCAGGAGGGCGTATAGTTACACCATTTCGGGGCCCAGGATGGCCCTGGCCCGGCGCGGTGGTGATGTGCATATAGCTGCCTCCTGCGCAGGACACCTGCACGGCCACCGCCTCTGGCGGGGTCTGGGCCTCCGCCAACTGCGTGCACGCGCCCGCCATCAACGCTTCCCAGGTCGTGGTGGGCGCGGCGGGCACCGAGAGCACCGCCGTGTGCCCTGACGGCATGGAGCTCACTGGCTGCTCCTGCGGCGGCCTCAACTGCAAGGGGGCCCGGGCCTACGGGGAGGGGCAGAACGCTTGCAGGGCGAAGGCAACGGACTCCCATCAGGCTCGGGAGCCGCCAAGAGGGAGGTTCTGGCCAGGGCAGGGTGCATGTCGTGGCCGGGACCCAGCCTCCCAGGTCCTGGGCGTTTCCTGGTCCTGTGTGGGCCCTCGCCACCTGTACAGAGGGCGGCGCGTCAAGCTTATAGCTAATGCCCCGAATGCCTATAGGCACGGGGGGCCTGGGCCCCAGGGCCGGGACACCCTTCCGTGTTGACCTGCTTCGGGGATTGCCTTGGGCGTTCACTGTAGATGTTATTCGGCTGGTCGTGTCGGGGACGTCCAATGGGAGGGGGGGCGATGACCAGTGGGAGTGCATATAGAATGATATCTGTCCGGATTCCATGGTCCCCCCTTCTGATCTCGAAGCGTCCCTTGGCCTCCCCTGGGCCGCGCACGTGCCTCGGGCCATGAACCGTGAACCCCTCTTTTTCGGCGTCCCCGACAGGCAACGGCGTACGCGATCTGCGCGCACCTCCTGGAGTCCGTGGACCTGGCGATGCCCCGCGCGGAGGGGTTCACGGGCGGAGACGTCGGCGACGTGGCCGGCGCGCTCACGCCGATCCAGAGCGTCTACTGCGAGGGCAGGACCGGCTGGGACGAGGTCGGCTTCGGGGGCTGCTCGTCTCGGAGGCGTCCAGGAGGGGGGTGAGGACTAGGCGGGGGGGGGATAGCATGGCTTAGACAACGAAATCTCCCAGGTCTCACGGCGTTCCCTTCTTCTTAGTGTTACGACCATGCGCGCGATTAGTAAGATTAACATGGTTATTAGTTGTAGTATGATTGATATGACGGCTCGTATTCGGATCAATGTTATTAGTAGTAATCGTATGTTTTATGCCATGATCTTTACTGTTTACCAGTAGGAGTATCAGCATTAAGAGTAGTAGTAGTAGTAGTAGTAGTAGTAGTAGTAGTAGTAGTAGTAGTAGTAGTAGTAGTAGTAGTAGTAGTATCATTCGTGTTTTCATAATTTTCGTACCAACAACGCTATTACTTGTAATCGTATTATGATAGCTTTTACGATTCGTATGACTATCATTATGAATACGCTTATGATTATTAGTAGTAGCAGTAGTAGTATTTTTATTAGTATTAATATTTGTAATATTAATAGTATTACTATTATTATTGTCATTGCTATTAAGATTATTATTATTATTATTAGTATTATTATTATCATTAGTATTAATATTATTATTATTATTATTATTATTATTATTATTTCTGCCCATCCTCTGGCCCCCACTCGTCTGCTCACATGCTTCGGGCCGTGATGCGCATCTCCCGCTTTTCCTGACGCGCCCTTCTTGGGCGCACCCGATCGTCGCTGACGTCGCAGTATCGAGAGAAGGCGCTCTTCGACTGCGGCAGCAGGGGATGCAACCAGACGGACCTCGGCCTCGTGTCCGCCGGCACGCCCGTGACGCTCACGGCCTGGGAAGGGCAGGAAGCCCGCTGCCCGCTGGGCTTCCTGGCCGTCAGGCTCAGGTGGGGCGACGAGAGATCACCGGGTCTATCCGCCGCCCCAGGCCAGGCCCACTCTTGGCCCAGGAGCGGCGTCAAGGCCTCCGTGGCCAAGCCAGGTGGCCGCACACGCAGCCCCGTGGCCCAGGATGGGCCTGGCCAGGGGCGGGTGGCCGTGCCTGGACCTCGTCGCCCCTTTTTCCAGGTGCGTGAGCGATTGTGCAGGCGTGGAGATCCAATGCGCGGCCCCGAGCCGCGGGGCGCCGTGGTACCTGTCGGGGAACCGCTACGCGTCGCCGTGGTTCGACGGCGAGACCGGGTCTGGGATGGCCTCCTGCGGTGACGGCCTGGTGGTCGGGGTGGAGTGCCAGGACACAGACCTGGACGGAGCCGTGATCGACACGCACGGTCACTGCGACCAGCTCCGGCTGTGGTGCCGTGGCATCGCCATCGTCACAGGCAGCGATGGAGAGCGCCACGGCACGTTCGACTTCACCCTGCACTCTGGTGAGTGGTCTGCGTGGGTCTCCAGCACTGGGGCGATGGAGTGGGTTTTCGATTTTGACCTGCATGACGACGAGAGCCTGTTCGCTGACGAGCGCATGGCACCGCTCCAGCAGATGCAGTGCGAGGGCCAGTCGTGCGACAACGTGCGTCTCTACAGCGTGCATGGGTTCGGCACCTTCGCGACGTCTGTGGAGCTGAGTGGCTCACCGAGTGTTTGGACTGTACCGTTCAACGAAGGGGAGATGGAGTGTCCGAATGGTCACTACGCCGCAGGGTTGAAGTGCATGGGAGCTTACTGCGAGTCCAAGAGTTTGTTATGCGCGACTCCTGCAGGTGACTGGGTGCCGAGTGGCTCCACTTACTATTCGCACTGCTTCACGCACGCAGGCGAGATGCCTTGGTGGACGTGGTGGCAGAGCTTTCGGTCTTTTATGCGCGGCAAGGAGAAGCAGTGTGTGGGCACAAGTGTCGAAGCAATGCCAGACGCGCAGACTTGCGGAGCAGATGGCATCATTGTTGGCCTCAAGTGTTTCGGAGGATATTGTGACCGACTGCAGTTGCTTTGTCGCACGTTGGACGCGAACGTGGACGTCCAAACAGGAAACATCACCAGCGCGGAGTCCATTATATTCGAGTTGGGTGAGGCGGGTCTCTGGGAAGACATGTCGATCTGGGCAGAAAAGCCCGTAGACGGTCAGCCGGTTCAAGCCTACACTTGGGATGGGTCGCAGTTGGGACGGGGCGACAGTGTATCTGTTGCCTGGTCAATGCCAGCACGCGGTGTTTTAATCATGTCAATTGTTTTCGCAATCGCCTGGGGTGTGTAATCTTGCGGCTTGCGTCCCATTCTCTTTTCCCAGCCACTCCCATGCTTACCCTGCTGCTCGTTCTCATTATCTTGGATCAGTGCCAGCACGCTAGGGCGTGTAAGCCTGCGAATTTTGAGTCCGAGGGGACCGTGCGTACCTTCCCCCCTTGCGCGTAGGACGTTCCGATTTTCCGATGAGGCACCAGTGGGCTCACCCTTCCTCTTCGTCGTCTTTCTCCACAGATCCTCCCCTGACGACCTCTGCAGATCTCGAGCTCCGCTGATCTTCACGCGACGACCTCTTCGCTATCTTTCTCCACTGATCCTCGTCCGACGACTCGACGACCTCTGCAGATCCCGAGCTCCCCTGATCCGTCCCCGACGACCTCGTCGTTATCTTTCTCCGCTGATCCTCCACCATCTCATCGACGACCTCTGCCGATCCCAGCTCGCTTAGCGGGAGCTGTTTCCCCGCCGCGCTGGACCGGCATGACTTTGTGCCGACGACGCCGGGATGCGCCAGCCATACGGCAGTCTCACGTCGCGATGACGTCTAGACGAGCGCGGCTCTCCGACAACCCGGGTCGCTCCACGCTCTGTTTGTTGATCCGAAGTTATAGGTGGCTGATGTGCTGGCCACGACGGCTGAGCCAGAAAGTGCCACGAGCTGCTCGACGCCTTTTTTCTCGGCGGCTCCCCCCAGGGGTGGAAGAAGGCAGACTGGGAGGAGGAGGAGGAGGAGGAGGAGTAGGAGGAGGAAGAGGAGGAGGAGGAGGAAGAGGAGGAGGAGGAGGAGGAGGAAGGAGGAGGAGGAGGAGGAGGAGACGGAGGAGGAGGGAGGAGGACGAGGGAGGAGGAGGTGGGAGGAGGAGGAGGAGGAGGAGGAGGAGGAGGAGGAGGAGCTTCGCAGAAGGCTTAGAAGGCCATGCGCCCCCCCTTCTGACGCCCGGTGGTTTTTATGTTTTTTGTGTTTTTGTTCCTAGCTCGAGCCTCTCCGGCGGTCGCTCGGGAGGATCGTTCCGAGTGCCCCCGCGGGGCGCTCTCTCGGCGAGGGGCCGCCGCCGGAAAGCACCCCGAGGCCGAGAAGCCGGCGAGCTCGAACAGAGGAAAACGCCCGAGCACCCTCCAAACTTCAAACTCCCCCCCTCCACTTCCAAGCTCAAAACTCCAAACTCCAAACCTTCCAGCCTCGAAACGCGAAACCTTCCAAACGCCTCCCAGACTTCCAGACGCCCCCAAAACCTTCAGCACGCCCCCAAACCCGAAAACCCCCAAACTCCCCAACGCCCCCAAGCCTTCCAAACTCCAAAGTCCAAACCTCCTCCTCCTCCTCCTCCTCCTCCTCCTCCTCCTCCTCCTCCGCCTCTTCCTCTATCCTCCTCCTCCTCCTCCTCCTCCTCCTCCTCCTCCTCCTCCTCATCCTCCTCCTCCTCCTCCTCCTCCTCCTCCTCCTCCTCCTCCTCCTCCCCGCCTCTTCCTCTATCCTCTATCCTCCTCCTCTATCCTCCTCCTCCTCCTCCTCCTCCTCCTCCTCCTCCTCCTCCTCCTCCTCCTCCCTCCTCCTCCTCCTCCTCCTCTCCTCCTCCTCCTCCTCCTCCTCCTCCTCCTCCTCCTCCTCCTCCTCCTCCTCCTCCTCCCCGCCTCTTCCTCTATCCTCTATCCCCTCCTCTATCCTCCTCCCCTCCTCCTCCTCCTCCTCCTCCTGCTCCTCCTCCGCCTCTTCCTCTATCCTCCTCCTCCCTCCTCCTCCTCCTCCTCCTCCTCCTCCTCCTCCTCCTCCTCCTCCTCCTCCCCTCCCCGCCTCTTCCTCTATCCTCTATCCTCCCTATCCTCCTCCTCTATCCTCCTCCTCCTCCTCCTCCTCCTCCTCCTCCTCCTCCTCCTCCTCCTCCTCCTCCTCTCCTCCTCCTCCTCGCCTCTTCCTCTATCCTCTATCCTCCTCCTCCTCCTCCTCCTCCTCCCTCCTCCTCCTCCTCCTCCTCCTCCTCCTCCTCCTCCTCCTCCGCCTCTTCCTCTATCCTCCTCCTCCTCCTCCTCCTCCTCCTCCTCCTCCTCCTCCTCCTCCTCCTCCTCCGCCTCCTCCTCCTCCTCCTCCTCCTCCTCCTCCTCGCCTCTTCCTCTATCCTCTATCCTTCCTCCTCCTCCTCCTCCTCCTCCTCCTCCTCCTCCTCCTGCTCCTCCTCCTCCTCCTCCTCGCCTCGACCCCGGAAACTCCAGACTTGCCCCCCTCGGCGCAGCTCCGAGCCAGGCCGTGGCCCCGGCCGTGCCGCGCGGCCTTCACGGAGTGCCACGGGCTGCTCCATGCCCTCCTGGCCAGGCCAGCCCTTCTTAAGGAGGGGAAAAACACACACACACACAGACACAATTAATCGTCGATTCCCGATTCCCCAGGAAATATGGGAACATATGGGCAGTGGGGGGGAAGACAGAAACCCAGAAAATATGGGGAAATATGGGGAATGATTTTATTGGTGTGTATTTATCTGTGTGTCCCAAGGCCCCTTCACTTCTGGCGTTGCGCAACTGATGGGGGCGGTGAGTCAAGCAGGGGCGAAGCGTCCTGGCTCGCCTGTAGCCCTACCAAACAGTGTTCTAAGAACCTCGTGTGTTTGCCACGAGATGTTCGTAGAACATTTCTGGCGGAGTCTGTCTTGTTTTACCACATCGAGTTTATGTTCCAAGAACATTGTCTTTGTTCTTAGAACATGTTTGGGTTCAGAGAACATTTCGTGGTAGGACTATAGGAATGCCGGGACGGTCGGTCCCTGCTCAACTATTAGGCCCCAAAGGGCGCACTGGGGTCAAATCGCCCACTGATCGCCGACAGGGGCACGTTAGCCAACCAAGCCCGTTTCGCTACCGGGGGCCTATCGCTGATGCATCGGCGATGAATCGCCGATTCCCAGGCCGCTGCCTCCCCAGGACCACTCCCGAGAACATTGGAGAAGCCGCCGGCCGCCCCCACAGCGGCGCCCTCAGAGCTCGTCCATGGAGGCCTTCGCGGCGGAGGTCTTGACTCCATCTCCTCCGCCTCCGCTGCCGTCCCCTCCTCCTCCTGCTCCTCGTCCTCCTCCTCCTCCTCCTCCTCCTCCTCCTCCTCATCCTCCTCCTCCTCCTCCTCGTTTTCTCCTCCTCCTCCTCCTCCTCCTCCTCATCCTCCTCCTCCTCCTCGTTTTTCTCCTCCTCCTCCTCCTCCTCCTCCTCCTCCTCCTCCTCCTCCTCCTCCTCCTCATCCTCCCCCTCGGGCTGCCTCCTCCTCCTCCCCCTCCAGGCCTGGAGCTTGCCCTCCCCCTCCGGCCGCCTCCTGGCCGCAGCCTCCGCCCCCGCGGAGCCAGTGCCCGCCTATCTGTCAGGAGCGGCCGAAAACGCACAGACACAATTGATCGTCGATCCTTTGGAAAATATGGGAAGTGGTGGTGATGACGAAAACCCAGGAAATATACGAAAATATTTGGGATCCTGGGATTCGTGTGTGTATTTAGTTGTGGGCCCCTGGGCCCCTACAACCTTGCCCGTCCCCTCTGGTCGCCTCCTTGCCGCAGCCTCCCCCCTTTTGCGTGTTCGATGCTTTCCCCCGCAGAGCCATAGCCCCCTTTATCGTTCTCCCTCGCCTCCGTTCGAAGACCGCGTCCGCGAGCGCCGGGGGGGGATAACATTTAGGGCCGCCCCAAAGAAGGGATTCGAAAAAACTGCATAAATAGAAACTTTGGGCGCTCCGCGCACATTTCTTGGAACCGCGCTGGGGCCCCCCTAGCGGCACCTCCGGCGCTGGCGCGCGGAGACGGTTTCAGCGCAGACCCAAGAAATCGCTGCGGAGTGTTAAAATTCGGAGGTTGGAGGGTAAGATCGCAGTGGAATGGAGACCCCCCAACCAGGTAATCGTTTCGTTTCGTTCGTGTCGTGCGTGCGGGCGAGGCGAAGTTGCGTGGGCGCGCGAGAGGAATAAACCCGCCACTGCTGGGGCGAAGTCAAGACAAATGATGATCCCCCGCCTGCCCGTCTGGCGGTGGCTCGCGGTGTCCCGCGGTGTCCCGTGGTGTCCCGTGGTTTCCCGTGGTGTCCGCCGCTGTTAGGGCGAAGTCGAGACAAATGATTATCCCCCGCCCGCCCGTCCGTCCGTCCGTCTGGCGACGGGTCGCGGTGTCCCGCTGTGTCCCGTAGTGTCCCAAAAATGCGAATCGATGTGGTGCCCCGAGGTGTCCCGTGGTGTCCCGCGGTGTCCCTCAAAAAGTGAGATCGATAGTGAGATGGATAGTGAGATCGACAGGTGTCCCGTGGTGTCCCGTGGTGTCCCATTGAGTGAGATCGATAGTTGGGTCGATAGTGAGATCGATACTGAGATCGATGTGGTGCCCCCTGGTGTCCCGTGATGTCCCGCAGTGTCCCAAAAAGTCAGACCGATAGTGAGATCGATAGTGAGATCGACAGGTGTCCCGTGGTGTCCCGTTGACGGAGATCGATAGTGAGATCGATGTGGTGTTCCGAGGTGTCCCGTGGTGTCCTATGGTGTCCCGTTGAGTGATATCGATAGTGAGATCGATAGTGGGACCGATGGTGAGATCGAGGGGTGTCCCGTGGTGGCCTGTGGTGTCCCGTGGTGGCCCGTGGTGGCCCGTGGTGTCCCGGTTGAGTGAGATCGATAGTGAGATCGATAGTGAGATTCCGTGGTGTCCCGTGGTGTCCCGTTGAGTGAGATCGATAGTATGATCGATTGAGTCAGATGTTGGTTCCCCCCCTCCGCCCCCCACAACCTCCTTCTCACCCGAAGGGTGGTCGTACAGGTAGTGTTTTATGCCGCATTGTTTCCTTCTAGAAATGATCCCCGAGTTTGGTGGGCAGTAAACACGCCGAAGTAAGGACATGCTTCGGCTCAGGAGTGGCTATGTTTGTTTCGGTCGCTCGTCAGGCCTGGGTCGGGAAGCATGGGAATGGCCCAGGCTCGCCGTGGCCAGGAAATCTCGTTCGTTCCTGATTCGGCGCCCCTTGCTGTAGCACGATGATTGCATTCGGCGGCGCGCCCACGGGGAAGTCAGAGTGGGCAGGCCCCCTGGGTGGTTTTTTGGAAGCCTTCCGGCCTTCTGAGAAGCCGCCCGTGGCTTCGGGGAAAGCTCGCAACGTTTTTCAGAGGGGCCGGAGGCTTTCTGAACCTTCCGAGACGGCCCGCCCCCGTTGCCTTCCCCTTTGGGCGCGCCGCCGATGCGTGGTGGCGGTAGTTGATGCCGCCTGGGAGGCCCGAGGACTGCCGCCACCGCCGAGGTCGGGGGGCCGCCCTCCCCTGGTGGAGGGGGCCGCCGGTGCCGGGTGCTGGCGCCAACGTCGCAGGCTCCTGAGGTCGGCACGGACGAAATTGGTATGGAAAGCACGGGGACAAGGACCGACAGCAGCCCCTGTCCGGTTTGAACCGGGCTCGTTGTCGGCGTCGCCGCGGCTTGTGCCCATCGGAAGCGCACCGTCCCCTGGCCCAACAGAGGCCGCTGCAGGTCTCTGACGGCGTGTGCTGTTGGGCATCTTTCCGCGACTCACGCACGTCTGGGCCCAAGGGGCTAATGGGGCCGTCGTGTTCGCCCGGCTGCGCGCATGGCAAAGGACGGGCCGCGCTGCCCCTTGGCGCGCAGCGCTCACGCATCGGGGGCTCTGGCCCCTGCTTCCTCCCAGCGCCCGCCGCCCGTCTCGATCGAAGGCCTCGCCTCCATCGATTCCACGGCGCAGCGCTGGCAACAAGCTTAGACTTGTGGAGGACGATCAATGGAGAGGAAGCGTGTTGCCAAATAATCTCCAGATGTCTAAGACATGTGTTAAACATGGTTTAAGCATGTAAGGAAACATGTCTAAAATATGTTTAGAACATGGTCCGACAGTTAAAACACACTTTAAGTTCAATGATAGGACTGTTAGGGTGTCCATTGTCGTGGCATCCTCAAGCTCAGACTTGCCGCGGGCCGACCCTGCTTCGGGCGTGCCGCTGACCGCGGGGCGGTTCCCACTGCGCAGCGCTGCACGCGCCGCCCCCCGTGTCCGGCTCTGCCCGTAGCTCGCTCCCGCTCGTCGCCCCGGCTGCGCTGCGGCGATTGGCCCTGCCCTTGTGGAGGACGATCTATGGAGAGGAAGCATGTTGCAAAATCATTTCCAGACGTCTGAAAAAATGTGTTAAACATTTTTGTTAAGCATGTAGAAACATGTTTAAAGCATTTTGAGGACATGTTTCCGACATGTTAGACACATCTTTACTTCGATGATAGGACTGTTAGGGTGTCCATTGTCGTGGCTTCCACAACCCTGCCCGCGCAGCCTCACGCCCCCACCCTGACACGGCGATCGAGGAATTGGCCGTTTTCGGCTCGCGGGGGGGCGTCGCGGCCGTCATTTTCGCGGGTCCAGGTCCGTCGGTCTCGGTCCCAGGCCGTTTTCACGAAAGGGTGGTTTGCTAAATGGAGGTTTGTCCACCGCCGATCACAGAGGGCGCTGGCCGGAATCCCCATCGACCTCACGATGGGTCGGGCCGCTGCGCTCGGCGCGTCGGGGGGCGACGCGCCGATGGCGGCTAGCATTTGGGACCCCAGAGGTGCCGTCACCTCGCGTGCTCCCCGCTCTCGCCTTAGGTCGGGCATGTCCCCTACAGGCGAATTTTGAACGAGAAATGAAAAATACTCCAACCAGACCCTAACGTATTCAAAAAATACTCCACAAGTCGTCCCCTGAGTGTTTTTGGCTATTTTTGAATGTCCCCCCTGCAGGGGGACAGGCCCGACTTACCCCTCGCCCCTTCGAGCAGCGCCGGCGTCGATGGTATGGAATCCCGCGCGCAGGAGCCCCCTGTGGCTCTCTTGGAGCGACTGGGGCCCTTCGTCCTGCCCCCGAGGCGTCTCCGACGATGGGTCTCGGTCCGTCCGCGGGCCCCACCGGTCCATGGTCTGGGGCCCTTCCCCGCCCCAGGGGTCCCGACGACTCCCCAGGAAGCCCTACGACTCCCTGGGAATCCCTGGGAATCCCTACGAATCCGGAGGGATCCCTGGCGAATCCTCCAGACTCCTTGCGCAAACCGAACGCCCGCTTTTCGTCCCCCATTCGGGCCATATCTCTGGCGCCCTCGATGTAGAAAAAAACGCCGCAGCTGAACAGACCAATTCGCCTCGAAACGCCCGTTTTGATGCGCAACACGTACCGTGTTCGAAACGTCCGTACCGATACGTTGCGTGTCGGCTCAACGTATAACTGTTGGGCCACGTTTTAGCGAACGCATCGCGTCAGCCCTACGTTTTCAGTCTACGTGTTGGGCTCGCTATTAGTACGCTACGTGTTGTGTGTTGCGTATCGGGGCTAACGCGCTGGCGGGCCGGCGCGGCCGGCCCCCACCACCACCGTCTGCATCCCGGGGGTTGCGCAGGCCCCGCCCTGGCCCTCCCCTCCCTCCCCTCCCCGTCCCCCCACCCGCGTCCTCCCGTCGTGTCGTCCCTTCGTCTGTCGTTTTCTCTTTCCTCTTCCACTGGGCTCCTCTTGCGTTGGTGAAAAAGCGTTGCGCATCGGGGCAGCTACGTCTGGAGCTCCTCCCGCCTGCCAGCTTCCGCAGCGCGGGGCGGGCCCGTGCTGCTCCTCGGCGCGGGGGCTTCGGCCTGCCTGCCGCCGTGGATCCTCCTGCCGGGCAGCTGGCCCGCGGCTCCGAGGTCGGGCTCGTCGTCTTCGCGCGCTCGCCGTCGTCTGCACCAGGCGCTCGGCGCGGCGTCGGCGTCTTCGGCATGGCAGCTTGGCATCGCTCGGACATCTGCAGTCTTTCCCCCAGCGAGGACCATCGAGGAGCACCCTTGATCACCTGGCAACCGAAAAGGACCGCACGAGACCAAGTACACGGGGAATGGACGTGCGAGCGATGGCAAGGGCAGGCGTCAGGCGCTGGTCGGCGGCATCGGTCGTCGGCGTATGGGGCCGGCGAGCCGCTGTGGACTTCACTGCATCCTGAGCGAGCTTGCTGGCGGGCTTCCAGGGGTCTCCGATGGCCCTCCTGCAGAGGCCCTCCGGATGCCCTCGCTCATTCATCAGCATCGCCTGGGGCGTTGAGTTTAGCATCGCCCATGGTGTAGCCTTGGCCAAGACCCGCCCCGACCCTTCTGAACTTGGCTCAATCAGACATCGCGTTCTCAGTCTGGCTGAATAGATGTCCGCCGCTCCCACGAAGACCTCCCACTGGCTGCCGCCTGACCTTCCGAAGCGGCTGGGTGTCTCTTCGTCGCTTCCCTGTCCCCCCTCGTCCGAACTGTGGCTCGCCCTCGCACGGCGCGAGGTAGTCTCCCCTGGCATCGGGCCTTGCTTTGCTCGTGGTGTGTGCGCCTGGAAGTCCCGACCCTGCTCCGCAGGGGCCGAAAACGGCCGCCGACGCAGAAAACGCTGAACGGCGGGGCCAATAGATCGTTCCAGAGCGTTCCGGAATGCTCTCAGAGCGTTCCAGAGCGCTCGGGATCGGCCGCGGCGCTTTCAGACCCGCTGGGCTTCAGAGATTCCCAATTTACCCCGGCCCGATTTCGTCCTGGTCCTAGCTCCGTTGTGCGTCACGAGCTCCCTGCGACGCTCCCGGAATGACGGTCGCACGGCGCGCCCGGGGGCGCAGGGACGGGACCCCACCCGTGTGCCCAGCGCATTGCCCGAGCCGCGAGAGTCGAGGTGGAGACCGCCAACCGCCTTGCCGACCAGCTGCGCGCGGGCGTGGTGTGGGTCCCGGGGATGGGGGAGGGAAGTCGTCGTCGTCGTCGTCGTCATCATCCGTCTCCCTCCCTTCCTCCCCCCTTCGCTCCACCCTCCCCCCCTCCCTTCCTCCCCCCTCCCTTCCTCCATCCCTCCCTCCTCGTCCCCCCTCCTCCCGCTCTCCTTCTACATCCTCCTCCTCCCTCCTCCTCCTCCTCCTCCTCCTCCTGGTCTCCTCCTCCTCCTCCTCCCGCTCTCCTTCTCCCTCCTCCTCCTCCTCCTCCTCCTCCTCGTCGTCATCATCATCATCATCATCATCATCATCATCATCATCATCATCATCATCATCATCATCATCATCATCATCATCATCATCCCACTCCTTCCGCCCTCCTCCCCCCTCCTGCCCGTCGAGCGCGCCGCCTCTGGCGCTAGGGGAGGAGAAGGAGGGAGGAGGACGGGCAGGAGGGTGGCCTGGTGCGTAGGGAAACAAGTCCTGAGCAGAGCAACGCGCACTGCGACCACGACGACGCCAATGGTGAGGACGACGACGGCGACGACGACGACGTCGACGACGTCCACGTCCACGACCACGACCACGACGACCACGACCACGACCACGACCACGACCACGACCACGACCACGACCACGACCACGACCACGACGACGACGACGACGACGACGACGACGACGACGACGACGATGGTGACGAGGCGCGCAAACGATGCCCACCGAAGCATGGACTTGGGAAAGGCTCCCCCATACAAGATCGCGGAAACAGCACATATTTGATTGGTGTTGCAGAGGTTCGGAGAGCCGGGAAGACAGACGGCCGGCCGGCCGGACGGACGGACAGCTGGGTGCCGCGGAATGGTTGGCAAGCGAGGAACGTGGTCCTTGCATAGGGAAAACTAAGCCCGAACAAAGCAACACACACCACGACCATGACGGCGACGACGGTGACGAGGCGCGCCGACGATCCGCACCGAAGCACGGATTCGGGCAAGGGCCCTCCCTACAGGATCGGTTAAACAGCTCATCGTTGAGCGCTGCTGCAGCCTCTCCTGAGTACAGCCCCCTCCAAGAGTATCAGCCAGACAAGTCGGGTTTGCACCCCCATGCCTTGCTGGACCCTGGGCGTGCATCAGCACCGCCACTTTTTTTCCGCCGCCGCTCCCGCATCAGTCCCACCGACTCGTGGTGACGGCGACAGCGACAGTGGCGGTGGCCGACGCGACCTGGAGCTAGGAAGCTCGAAGCGCCGCGGCTTAGAAAGCCAGGAAGACAGATAAAAGGGACGGACGAGGGGACAGCCAGGCGGCATGCAATACCTTGCAAGTCAAGCAGATGCTCTTGCATGGAGAAACAAGTCCCGAGCAGGGCAACATGCACCACGGCCACGACGACGCCGACGGCGACGACGGCGACGAGGCGCGCAGACGATCCGCACCGAAGCACGGATTCGGGGGAAGTGGCCCACCCTGGAGGATCTCTCAAACAGCACATCGTTGAGCGCTGCTGCACCCCCGCCTGAACACATCCCCCCCCCAAGGTATCAGACAGACGTGTCGGGACTGGTGCCGCCACCCCATCGTCAGGGCCACCGACTGGCAACGGTGGCAGCGACAGTGGCGGTGGCCGACCCGTCCCAGAGCTAAACAGCTCTCAGCGCCGCGGCTGAGAGACCCTGGGAAACGGACGAACGGACAGACGGACAACCAGGCGGCGCGCAATGCCTTGCAGGCCAAGTGGGTGGCCACTGCATAAGGGAAACAGGACCCGAGCAGAGCAACGCCCACCACACGACGCCGACGACGACAACGGAGGCGAGGCGCGCAAGCGATCCGCACCGAAACACGGATTGGGGAAAGGGCCCGCCCTGCAGGACCGGTGAAATGGCGCATCGCTGAGCGGAGCTGCGAGCCCCCTGAGCACAGCCCCCCCCCCAGAGCATCAGCCGGACAAGTCGGGTTTGTCCCTCCGTGCCTTGCTGGACTCGGGGCGCGCTTCGGGAGTGTCACTGCCATCGGCACCCCTTCGTCACGGCCACCGACTCGGGTGATGGCGACAGCGACCGTGACGGTGGCCGACGCGATCCAGCGCTAAGCTCTAAACGCCGCGCTGAGAGAGCCGGAGAGATGTACACACGGACGGATTGACAGCCAAGCGACATGCAATACTTGGCAAACCAATTGAACGGTCCTGCATATATGAGAACGGTCCGAGCAGAGCAACATGCACCACGACCACGACGCCGACGGCGACGACGGTGACGAGGCGCACCGAAGCACGAATTTGGGAAAGGGCCCACCCTGCAGGGTCGCTCAAACGGCACATCGTCGAGCGGCGTTGCAGCCTCTCCTGAACACAGCCGCACCCCCCAGAGCATCAGCTAGACAAGCCGGGTTTGCACCCACATGTGTTGCTGGACCCTCCCTGGGCGCACTTCGGCATTGCCACTGCCGCCGGCACTTCCTCGTCAGGGTCACCGACTATGGTGTCTCGACAGCGGCAGTGGCTGAGCGCTGCGGCTCTGAGAGCGGGGAAGACAGACAAACGGACGGACGGACAGCCAGGCGGCGCGTAATGCCCGCCACATTAAGTGGGTGGCCGCTGCACACGGGAAACATGTTCCGAGCAGAGCAACACGCACCACGACCACGACGCCGACGACGACGGAGACGACGCTCGCACGAAACGCAGAGTTGGGAAAGGGCCTCCCTGCAGGATCGGTAACACTGCACATTGTTGAGCGGTGCTGAAGCCTTCCATGATCACAACCCCATTCTCATAGCATCAGCCAGACACGTCGGGTTTGCACCCTCATGCTTTGCTGGACTCGGGGCGCGTTTCGGCACTGCCATTGCCGCCGCAACCCCCTCGTCAGGGCCACCGACTCGTGTGATGGCGACACCGACAGAGGCGGTAGCCGACGCGACCCAGAGCTAAAAAACTTTAAGGCCGCGGTTCAGAGAGCCAGGAAGACAGACGGACGGACGGACGGACGGACAGCCAGGTCGCGCGCAATGTTTGCTTGGCAAGCCTACCGGGGGATGGCGATTCTGATGATGAGATGATGGTGCTGATGCTGATGATGATGATGATGATGACGACGACGATGAGGAGGAGGAGGGTAAGGATGATGACGATGATGACAATAATAATGATGGTGATGATGCTGATGCTGATGCTGATGCTGATGATGATGATGATGATGATGATGAGGGTAATGATGATGATGATGATGATGATGATGATGATGATGATGATGATGATGATGATGATGATGAGGGTAATGATGATGATGATGATGATGATGATGATGATGATGATGATGATGATGATGATGATGATGATGATGATGATGGTGATGACGAAGTTGATGACGATACTGATGGTGATGATGATGCTGATGATGGTGATGATGATGAGGAAGAGGAGGAGGAAGAGGTGTAGGAGGAGGAGGAGGGCAGGAGCAGGAACAGGAACAGAAGCCGGAGCAGGAGCAGGAGCAGGAGCAGGCGCAGGAGCAGAGGAGATGGAGGAGAGCATTGGAGTGGAGAGGAGAGGAGAGGAGACAAGGGGGGGAGGAGGGAGGCAGGAGGGAGAGGAGGAGGAGGTGGAGGAGCAGCAGGAGGAGAAATGGAGGAGGATTGAGGAGGTGGCGCGCCGCCAAGAGGGAGGAGGGAGGGAGGAGAAGGAAGAAGGGATGAGGAACGAGGGACGAGGAAGAAGGAATGAGGTAGGAGGGACGTGGGGGGAGGGAGGCGGAGCGAGGGACGAGGGAAGAGGGATGATGGAGGATGAAGGATGGAGGAGGGGACAGGTTGAGGGACACTGGCGAATGCACGGGCGGCAGGGCGGGAGGATCCGCCAGGTCAATCGCCATTGCGAGTTCATCCGCGACGCGCCCTTCGGTGGCATGGATCAATCGGGCATTGGGCGGTCAGGAGTGCCAGACGCCTCCACCGTCCCGCTCCCTCTCTCCTCCTCGGAAATCCGATGCGTGGCAGGTTGTAGCACGTTGTGCCCAGAATGCCCGTCCCATTCCTTCGGGGCCCGCCTTTCATCCTCAGTTGTTCTTGACAGTCTGCGTATCTGTGTACAGTGTCTGTGTACCAGCGCGAGTTCGGTCTCGCACGTGATCTTGGCCTTCATTTCAAGTGGTGTCTTGCCGATGTGCCGTCTAGGCTAAAGTCGGGCATGTCTCTCTACAGGAGGAAGATTCAAACATAGCCCCAAAAACTAGGGGGACGATGTTTCTACTATTTTGGGACATTTTTGCTTATGTATGATCATTTTTATTTCTCTTCCAAAATATGCCTGTGGGAGGACATGCCCGACCGAAGGCTAGGCGTGGTTTCTTGCGGGCGGGCGGTCTTGACAGTCCAGGGGCCCCGTGAGGGCCCCTTGGGCTGACAACCAGGAACGAGATCCGTATTGATTCTGCTGACGGCCTGGGTCCCCCCCGTCCTTCCAGCCTTCTCGCAGACCGCCGTCGCCGCTACTCAGGAAGATACCCATCGGGTTGGGAGGATGGGGTTGGGACCAATGAGGATATTATCACCCGCAGGCGGTCGAAGGTATCGCGCATTGCCGTCGAATGCTACTGCTCATATCCGTCATCCTCACAGCCTCTTCCTCCCAATGCGAGAACTGTTCTGCTGAAAACTCTCTCTCGCAGAGCCCCGCGTCAGGCCGCGTCGTCCTCCCTGGCCGGACACAGAGGGGGAAGTAGGGACGAGGAGGCCAGATCGAGGACCCCGGTTTCTGGGAGACGTTTTTTGTTGGGGGCTTCTGGAGGAGGCCTCCAGGGGGCCTCCATCGCAGGGGGCCTCCGAGGGGCTTGCCTCCAGCCTCCAGCGGGGGCCGGGGAGCTCCTCGGGCTGCCGTGGGAGCCTGAGGGCACCTCCAGAGAAGCAAGTGAGGTGGACAGGCAGCGGGCCCGGACTCTGCCCCAGTCACTCGCGGACGGCCTCCTGCTCCGCCCCATCCAGCACCACCTCGTCCTACTTCCTTCCCCCTACTTCCCTCTTCCTCCTCCTCCTCCTCCTCCTCCTCCTCCTCCTGTGCCAGGGTCTTCTCCAGCCTCCTCATCTCCCCCTCTCGTCTCCTACCTCCTGGATGGGGGTTGGGAACCGGAGAGCCATCGACAGCGCCTCCGCGCAGGTGGGGCATGTGTGGTGGATGCCTCCAGTCAGAGGCCTCCTAGATGGGGTCGGAATAGATGGGGTCGGAGGATCGCGCCGCATCGCCGTTGCATCGGCGATGCATCGCCGACGCATCGCCGACGTCGGGGTAAAGAAAATCGGTATCCACATCGAGCCGCATCGCCGATGCATGGCGATGCAGCGCGATCCTCCGACCCCATCCACTCCGCTGCCCCCCTTCTGCAAGGGGCGGACCGACACGCCGTCCACTCGCAAAGGCATGACGTCCCTGACCGTCGCACGGTCGACCCGCACAGTAAGGATTGGCAGCCCTCCCAAGGGGCGCCCCCTGCATCCTTGCCTTCCTGGTCCATGCTTCGCGACGTTCGCTGGCCAGGCTACTTCGGCAAAACGTCATCAGGGCCCTCCGAGGCCCTTGCAACACCTGGCGGGCGCCACGAGACCAGCGGCAGCGTGAAAGGGGGCTTGGTATCGCTCGGACGTGTGCACCTTTCTCGGCGGGGACTATTGAGGAGCATCCCTGATCATTTGGCGAAAAAAAACACGCACGAAACCGAAAAAAGCACAGGGTATGGACGTCCGAGCGATGGCCAGGTCGATGCTTCCCCCATGAGCTCTGGTCCTCTCAAAACGTTCCCCCTCAGCGGCCAACAGCTGCCGCTGTCGGATTTGGACAACGTCTGCTGTGGGGCACTGGTCCCCCCCAAGCGTTCCCCCGTCGGCGGCCAGCAGCTGCCACTGTCGGATTTCGACAACGTCTGCTGTTGAGCATCGTACGTACCCCTCTGTTCCGTACCCATGCCGGCCGTGCCAGAAGGAGATCTAGCGAAGCGTGATCTGGCCGAGTACACGGAGACGAAGACGATGGTGTTGGCGATGGTGCCGAAGGCAGACCTTGCGGGACGCTTCGATACCGATATTGTTAACATTGCGGAGAGGAAGGGCGGACAAGCCCCGAGCATCGTGCATTGTGGACGGTGTTTTTCAGCAGTGATTTGTTTTGCCTTGCAGAAGGAGTTTTGGAGAGCATGTGGGGAAGCGGGCGTTGCGTGTCCAATGTGTGTGTGTGTGGTCCCTCCTCCTGCTACTGTTGGTGCTTGCGCTAATGCTGCTACTGCTCCTGCTACCTCCTCTTTTCCCAAGTTTGAGCCACCACGTTCACGGTATTATGCTTCTGCGGGTGCTGTGAACCCGGGCGTGTCACGCGCTCCGCCCTCCCAGCATTCCATGCCAAGCCGTGCCAAGCTCCGCGCTGCTCCTCTGAAGGACCGACCGCCGCGCTGTGCCTCACGCACCGCACAGCTTGGGTGGCCAAGCCAGCTCGGCAGCAACGTACACGTCGCGATTTTCGGCGCTCAAGGGCCGATCCCTTACGCGCATGCGACGCGACATTCAAGAGAACGTCCTCGCACTGTACGCTCATTGAGAATATGTTGCCAATGGGATGCCCGATCATGTCCCGAGCACGTGTACACCATGGACGGTGCACCCGCACTGGAGTGGGCGCTCACTGTAGGATGTCATCCACAGCTGTGGCCCCCCCTCCGCGCACGGGGGCAAAAAAGCAAAAAGAAACAAACAATAAAACCGGGCGGGGTGGTATGGCGTTTTTTGTGTCCCCCCCCCAGGACTCAGGGCCCTGGCCCTGAATGAGTACCCCCTCAATGTGATTGTTTTATTCACATTAGGCCCAGGGCCCTGAACGTGATTGAAACAATCAGTACCACTCAGTGTGATTGAGGGCCATAGATTAAAACAGTCACATTGAGGGGCACTGATTGTTTCAATCACATTCAGGGCCAGGGCCCTGAGGCCTTTGGGGGGGTGGGGGGCAAAAAAAAGAAAACAAAAAAAATCGGGCGGGCTGGTCTGGCGTGTTTTTTCTGTTGCTCCCCCCCTAGGACTCTGGGCCCTGGCCCTGGATGTGATTGAAACAATCAGCGCCCCTCGATGTGGTAGTTTTAATCACATTCGGCCCAGGGCGCTGACAGTGATTGAATCAATCAGTGCCCCCCCAATGTGATTCAACCAATCAACGTTCCGCGCGTTGGCCTCCAGACCGCTACTTGAGAATCCCCCGTTCTCGGGTGGCTGAGTCTGCAGGCAGGGCGACGACCGCCACCCCAGAATCCCCTGTTCTCGGAAAACCACCCTGACCCCGACAGTTGGCGTTTACTCGACGGCCCTGGGCATTCACTGAACAGCCTCGACCTGTTCGATTCCTTCCTCTGGTGCGTTGACTGAACGGCTTCGCCTGTCGGGGTGTTTATCATCAGGTGGATGTTCTGCTCTTTACGCTGGGGTCCCCCGATTGGTGAGTGCGCGGCGATAACAGCCTCATGCGCGCTTGGGTTTGGGACCCCACCCCCTGTGCCACCCGGAAGCCTTGCTCCAAAGACCACTCCCGCAGAGGGCACTGTAAGTGCTTCGTGTGGCCGCCCCCTTCCGGCTGCACGTAGCAGCAGCCCTTCGCCGGAGTGACCTTTGGTGCCCTGGCGCGCGGCTCTCGGGAGGCGCTCCGGGGCCCAGCCCAAGCACGCATGCCGCCACTGTCGCACCTCGCGCGGCGGCCAGCAAGCCGCGCACCGAAGGTCGCTCTTGCTCAGGGTCGCCTTTTGCGTGTAGCCGATTCCCTCCCTCCCGTCCTTCCAAAGAATCGGAGTCGGGCACTTGCACCGCTGAGTGCCTCCCTCCCTTCCGCCCTCCCTCCTCCCCTTCCTCCCTCCTGCCCCTCCTCCATCCTCCTCCCCCCTCCCGCCCCAGCCCACCTCCCCCTCCTCCACCCTCCCGCTCCTCCATCCTCAGAGTTCTCCGCCCCCCGCCCCCCCCCCCTTTCCTCCCACTCCCCTTCCTCGCCCTCCCCCCCTCCTCCTCCTCCTCCTCCTCCTCCTCCTCCTCCTCCTCTCCTCCTCCTCCTCCTCCTCCTCCCTCCTCCTCCTCGCCCTCCCCCCCTCCCCCTCCGCCCCCCCCTCCCGTTCCTCCCGCTCCCCCTCCTCGCCCTCCCCCTCCTCCTCCTCCCTGCGCCCTCAGGCCAAGCCCGCCGTCGGCGCGCTCAGCTCCTACAGCAGCGTCACCGTGGACATCGGCGCGGAGGCCCCGCGGGGGGCCGACCCATCGAAGCGCAGATGGCCCACAGCCCCGGCGTTGATCGCGGGCGCCGTGTGCCCCCCGCTGGGCCCCATAGGGCCCCCAAGGGCCGGTCCAGCCCGCGAGGTCCCGCACCTGAGTTTCGGGGGCCCCCCAACGGTGTGGTGACCACACCGTGCGGTGAGTCGGTGGGGGTTCGGGGTCACCGCACGGTTTTGGGGCTCGGGTCGTTCTCCGGAGACGTCTCGGGCGGCTGGGGCCTCCCGGGTCCCAAGACCGTGCGGTGACGGACCGTGCGGTGAGGTCTTGCGGGATTTCGAGGTCACCGCACGGTCTTTCACCGCACCGTTTTGGGAATCCACAGAATTGTGGTGTCGAGGGCTTCTTGCGTGAGCTTGTGCCACCAAATCGTGCGCTTGTGCTCACGGCGCCCTCCTGTGCGCGGGCCGGTCAGGGTCTCCTCCGCCCCCGCATGGCCACAGGGGTTCTGGGCTCGAGGCCCGTTTCCGGGCGGGTAGGCCCTGAGGGAGGGCGGAAGGGCGGGCGGGAGGACCACAACGGACGGGTTAGCGAGCGGGCAGGACATGAAAGCGGGCGGGCTGTCACGCAGGCGAGCGGTCAGTCGGCGCAGGGGTCCGCCAGGGAAACGGCATGGGTGAAGTGGTCTTCGACGAAGCGGTCGGTCGGCGAGACGGTCTGTCGACGAAATGGCCCTCGGCGAAACGGTCTTGGCGAAACGGCCAGTCGATGAAGCGGTACGGGCGCAACGGTTGTGGGCGAAAGGTTAGGGGCATGGAAGGCCGGGGCATTTCGGGCCACCACCGAGGACAAACTGACATTGGCAGGTTGGGGGTTGCCGATGGGGGCGGCAGCCTATGGGCAACCACGAGTGCCGATACAAGGGGGCCCATACCTCCGGCGGCGCCAGGTCCAGTTGGAGCAAGTCCAGTCTTGGGCCGAACGAAAGGGGGGGACAGGGAAAGGGGGGGTTACGACATCTGCTGCATGCTGCTGGTTTCGGCCCCGCCGTCAGGCCCATTCCTCGATACATTTCCGCGCCGGGAAAATCAGCTACGTAAGCTGATTCTCAACCCCCCCCTTTGCTATCCCTCCCTTTCGTCCGGCCTGACAGTCGGAGCCAAGAGGTTCCAGTTGGTGGGCCTCCAGTTGGACTTAGCCTTGTCTTGGGCGGCACCGAGCACAATCGGAGCAGGTCCAGTTGGAATCAAAAGGCTCCGCCTGGTGGACCTCCAATTGGACTCAACCTCTCCCAGATACCTCCGACATCATGTTTGTTTCAATGCGTGGGCCCAGAGCTCCCGACCCCTTCCTGGCGATTGACTGTTCATCCTGAGTAGCTTCGTTGACGGTCCTGGAGCCCAGATGAGCCCATTGATGCGGAAAGCGGCGGAAAAGTTGTGGTCTGTCAATTTCCTGGAAGATCTGCGGAAATCTTGGCCCTCTGAGTGGGGCCCGATGGGCAGCCACTAAAGTCGACGCACGGGGGCATGCAAGGCCGAGGCCCTGTGGCCACGATGTGGTGGGAAACCACGAGTGGCCATGGCTACCCCACCACATCCTCCTCCTCCTCCTCCTCCTCCTCCTCCTCCTCCTCCTCCTCCTCCTCCTCCGCCTCCTCTTCCTCCTCCTCAGCAGCAGCAGCATAATCAGGATTAGCATCTTCGTCATCCGCCTTCCCGTCCTCGTGTTACTGACGCTCCGCCTTACCATCATTATTTCCTTCCTTCACCTCCTGCTACCCCTCACGCTCCCTCGTTCCCTCTCTCACTCTCCCTATTCATCATCCTCCTCTGCCCATCTCGTCCTCCACTTCCCCGCCCCCCCTTCCCCGCGCGCGGGATGAGGAGGATAAGCCGCAGGAGGAGAAGGATGACGGAGGAGGAGGAGGCGGAGGAGGAGAAAGGAGAGGAGGAGGAGGAGGAGGAGGAGGAGGAGGAGGAGGAGGAGGAGGAGGAGGAGGCTCCCCCAGCGGGAATGGGGGAAGGAGGAGAAAGCAGGTAGAGGAGGATGGAGGAGGAGGAGGAGGAGGAGGAGGAGGAGGAGGAGGAGGAGGAGGAGGGGTGGAGGATGAGGAGAGAGGAGGTGGAGCCGCAGCAGGAGGAGGGAGGAGGCGGAGGAGGATGGAGGGGCAGCATGACGCAGGGCGGGAGGGAGCGGAGGCCGAGGAAGGAGCAGGAGGAGGATTGGCGGAGCAAGCAATGACAGCGCGGCCCACCCCAGCGCTGGGCCCGCACGGTGGAGCAGATCGCCAGCTCGCAGCGCGCGCGGCCGACGGGCGAGGCGGCGCCAGGGCAAGCGGACCCGCCTTGTCGTCGTCGTCGCCGTCATCTTAGTCCTCGTCGTCCTCGTCTTCGTGGTCCTCGTTCTCGTCCTCGTCGTCTTCGTCGTAGTCGTCGTCGTCGTCGTCCTCCTCCTCCTCCTCGTCCTCCTCCTCCTCGTCCTCCTCCTCATCTTCCTGCTCGCCCTTCTGTCCTTCCTCATCCTTTCCTGGTCCTCCTCTCCATCCTCCCTCCTCCTCCTCCTCCTCCTGCGCCTCTTCGTCCTCGGCCTCGTCGTCTTCGTCAGCCGCCCCAGGAAGAGCTTTCAGCAAGGCCGCTCAGCAGCGGGACATGTAATGGCATCGAGACGATGCCTGAACTGTGCGAGTCCGGTCCTCCTCCTCCTCCTCCTCCTCCTCCTCCTCCTCCGCCTCCCTCTCCTCCTTGCAGGGCGGGCCTCAACACCCTCCCAGCGTTCTCCTCTGGCTGTTCCCGCTCCCCCTGCCGCAGAAGTACACGAGAGGCAGGATGGGCATAGGCAACGAAGAGCCGCAGCCTAGCCAGAGGCAGCAGCCGCCGTTGAACCATCATCGCCAGACCAATAGCGCTTGAAGCTGCTCTGCAATTACAGTATCCCGTGCAATACAAGTAGTAGTAGCCTCACAAGTAGCAGTAGTAGCACTAGTAGTAGTCGTAGCCGTAGCCGTAGCCGTAGTCGTAGTAGTAGTAGTAGTAGTAGTAGTAGTAGTAGTAGTAGTAGTAGTAGTAGTCGTCGTCGTCGTCGTCGTCGTC